GCGAGTGACTTCTAAATAAATGATCATTGATCTTCTTTAGATTAAGAATGTAAAGACAGTTTCAGAAAAACAGCCGTAACAGTCAGTATAATGTTTCCAATCGCAGTGTCTCCTCGAGAATCTCCATCAGATGAATGTCAACTATGAAATATTTCGCTTACAGTGACAATCGCCCATTTATCAGGCTGAAAAAATCTTCTTGTAATTAATCTTAGAAATATATCTCAAAACTTCATTTTTTCAACGTTACTTTTTCTTAAGGTTTTATGTGTTTATTGTAAGTCTTTACTATTGCCAAAAAATCACTTTCCAATACTCCCCGTACTTTTGCTGGGATCGTTTCTTCTAACTCGTGATGTATCTTAACTATACTTTCAATAACCTGAAGGAAGTTAAACTACCTTGTCTTTAACACATTATCTCCTTATTGACGAAACTATATAATATTAATAAAATTTCAATGTATATGTTCATTGTTCGTAAATTATTTGAATCTTAATACAAAGTTTAAAAAACGATATCTAAAATAAGCAACAATTCTCGGAAATGTTTAATAAAACTATGAACTAGAACAGCACATACGTCCTTCCATTATTTTTTTGTCATATTGAAAAACAACAACTAAACGAAAATGAAACCTGAGTTATTTCTTAAGCGTTATTTTCTCAAACCGAGAACCACATTGAAAGAAAGTTTTCAGAAAAAAGTTCATAAATTGCTTGAACTTCCAGTAAAACTTTCGCGAAATTTACATGTTTTCCAAAAAAAAATGTCCTTAAACTTATTTAAAGATCTAATATTTTATAACATATTTCATTAACGAAAATAATTTCAATCGCGAGAGTTGTAATTTTGCCATGTATGTATATTTTTTGTATATTTTGTATATTTGTATATTTTTTCAAACTTACAGCCAGATCGCTTAAAATTGGACCTACACCATTATTAACGTCCTTTCATATATTCGAAAAAAATTAAAGACAAAATTTGAACAGCTTTTTTGAAAATAATTGTTTAAAAAGTGTCTATATTTCACACAAAACTACGCAAAAACTACTCATATTTTCGAAAAAGGCCTGATTTAAATATCTGTCTTCCAAGAACCTTCATTATTTAAGTTGTAGGAAGGTGTCGAAAATAAGTGAACTGTTTGCAACAATTGAAAATTTGGAGAGTTTGATGAAAATGATACCTGTGCCCTATTTCAGCGAGCTAAGATCTATCCAAGTAAAAAGTTTAAATTAAAAATTTGAAGACTTTTAGAGAAAGTTTTGAAAATGTTAAGAGTTAATGAAATGTATTTCCAAAAATCAAAGTATTCGTTTCGAACTCGGGAGGTACTTGAGTTTACCTCAATCGATTGGAGAATACCAATTTTTCAGAAAATCGCCTGAATGATTTAGGCGCTAGCGTTGACCGTGAACCGACACACGTTTTGCCGGCAACTTATCTTTCAGTAGCAAGGACCCACAATACGTGATATCTTACTAGACGATGCATTAGAAAAAGTATTTGCTACATATAGGATCAAGATTTATCCACTTTTTCGATATCGGGACCCCACTATTCGAGTTTTCGTGTCAAAAACTGCCCAATTTTTGCCGCAGCTTTACAATGCTATATCTTTACTATGTAAGTAACTTGGTATGTACTATGGCAAGGACGTTAAAGCGTCAGGATTTTCGTCTTCCGGTTCTGTGAAAGAAACGGAGTAGAAGACAGGAGAGTTTCCCGCTGACCGTGTTCTTTTATGCAGTATTTACGGTGTTGGTGCTTATTTTCCATTAAACTTGGATAAATATTTTGAATACTTCTATTGCAGTTATTTGTGTTTCTTTTTGAAGCGTTAAAGAGTGTTTCTTTCATAAATGCAGAAACCTATAGAATTACTACAATTATTCTAATATTTTTCATCCTCATTGTAATGAACAAATAATAATGATAATTCTTCATTATCTCTCATTAATATAGACACAAATATAAATATTTCGTCATATTACACATTTAAATTATTTTAAACAAATTTGGAATGGTCGTTTTAGTTATATACTAAAATAGTTTTAAAATTCGATTGAAATTATATTAAAACTTTTCTAATGAGCGTACATGGATTCAGATTCCCGGCTTTCCTGCGTTTGTGACATGATATCATTATTTTCTGTAATATGTAATAAACGCGGAAACTACCAGGCGCAAGTTCAAAACATGCACACAGATATGTCACTATTTTTTTCAGAAAAAGGATCCATGACGCCATCACTCCCTGTAACAGCTGATGTTAGGTTGTAAGACTTGTAAATCTTCACAATTTTCTTTTAACGTGTTTTTGCATTCCAGACGTTTGTGCGTTATTTCTACGTTCTAGAGGAAAATAAAATTTTGTGTGTTTAATCTGACCCCCTTGGCGTTGCAAAACAATTATTTTAAAATGTTTGCAGTTCTGAATGTTCACTCCCGTTATTTTTGATTGTTACTATTCGAAGCATTGGCATTACAAAATGAACAACAAAATAAATCACTCAAAGCTTTAAAATATTTAGAAACTTATTTTTCTTCATTTTTCAGCTTTATTTTTCTTTACTAAACTTGTTTAAACGTCGGTCGTAAAGAGGACGACTGTTCTCAATCAAGAGAGATGAACGATTCACCCATGTGAACCGAAGTGGGGGCTCTCAGTTCTTACAGGTAGACGGCTTCTAGCGCGTATCTCTTCATTAGCCCTTTTGTCTCGATTACATACACTTAGATACACATTGGTAAGCGGGTTTGGTAACACAGGAGCACGTCTATAGCGGCATTGCCAAATCAGAAGCAATCTAACAGCTGTTCCACGCGGGGATCGCGCTCCGCTAGGGTACTTGCGTCAAGCACTTAAGCTTCGTGATTGCGTGACCCTCTGCCCCATTTAATCTCGTTTGCCAGCGACAACTGCGTCACACAACACCTGTCACGTGGCCGACTGTTCTATTAAAGTAATGGTCCTCAAACTTAAGGACAAGGGCCAAAACAAATCGAGGAAATATTCTGGTGTTAATGCAAATCTATCAAACAGCAAAGACAATGCGTTTCCTGATGGATGATGATTCTTTTCTCATTTTCATAATATATAATGTTTTATTAAACACACAGTACATGTTATCTTAGTAATAGAATGTGAAAACTTTACACAAATATTTGCTTTAAAAGAGTGCCTCATAAATCGAATTCTGCTTTGTTTAATTTCTGCGAAGGTGGTGACAAAAATATGAATTCGTTATGTCATGCAATTGTGCATATCTATCAGTGCAGTATGATCAATTTCGGTATACCTTATATTTGAGGGTTGTTAGGGAAACGTATGTATGTAATGTTGCATTTGGCAACGAAACTTGACATATTGATCTTATATTATTAATATCTTGCATCATAATATTGTCTACGATTGATTGCGGACGCCTCAGCTACTATGATCAGTATCATCACTGCCCCAGCCGGGACAAACTCTAAGCTTCCGACTGCTCTCCTCATGTGTGCGAGTAACTCCAACAAGAGGACGGATACAGATGATGAAAAAATCAATTTAATAAGTACTGCTCCGGTTTTCGATTGTTTTAGTGATTCCGTGGACGTCAACTACCAGGGTCATTAGTCCCGTAAGTGTAGTGAATGTTTTGCCCCGGAGGTGGCAGTGATCTTTCGCTCGCTGTATGGAGAGATCCGGCGACAACTTACCGTCGGCTAGCGGGTTTTTTCTCAACCAGGTATCTGCCACCAGCGGGGAACCAGCCTAAGTTCTAAGCTACCGACCGGTCTCCCGGCATGTGTGCTTGTGTAATGAGTGTTGGTGAAAGTGTGTGTGCAAGAGGTGCGGATAGGACAAGGAAGATGTAGGAAAGATTACGCGCGGTCCGTGGCCCGTTTGTCAGGGTATTGTTCCGGCATTCACCGTGTGTTGATTGGAGAAACCACGGAAAACTACTGATCAGAGAAGCCGGCCGCTAGAGTTCTCCTCCAGACAGCGACTGAATTCGATCTAGTTGACAAGCTAGTGTCGAAAGTCCTGCCACCATCGGGACTCTAACCAAGGACCCCCCGGTCAGAGGGTCCGCAGTGGCATCAGTTGATGCCCTGAGACATCTCTCCCGGTACTGCTCCGACATTCCCCTGACGTTGATCAGAGGAATCACAGAAAACTGCCGATTAGAGCTACAGGCTAATAGAAGTTGCATCCGTATAGTGGCAGAATTCTACCTAGCTATCTAGAATCTATCTAGCGTGGAAAATCCACCACCGTCGGGATCCGAACTCTAGGGCCTGCCAGTCAGAGGCGCAACAACGACAACAGTTGTTCCTTCAGTCATCTCAGTCGGTATTTACTACTAGAGCTGAGATTTATTAATGTGATATTGATCTAATTAGCCCCGACATAAGTAATGTATACAAGCCATGATATGTAATAAGGCAAAGAAGTAATTATGTGTGTCATGCTACAACCCCATACTCGAGCATATTTCTATTATTTGTAACGGTTACTTAATATTATCATGTAACTTGAAATTGACAATTTTCATTCAGAAAAAGATCTAACTTATTTTACGTGGGCCTAAAAGAGAGTAAAAATTAAACTCTCATTTCAGAAGTGTTAATGAAAATCGGACCTATGCCATATTAATCACCACATAATACTCTATTCCAGCAAAAAAGACTGTGGATTTGGCGTGCTAGTCAGCAGTGGCCCGCTGGTGGGAGATACCTGGTTGAGGAAAACCGCAAGCCGCCGGTCTCCCCCGGATCTCGCCATCCAGCGAGGGAAAATCATCGCCACCTCCCGCATTACACTTAGGGAATAATGACCTTAGAAGCTCATGCGCCCGGAATCTCTAATCAATCAATCAATCAAATTCAGGCGTATGCGGAACCCTACTCAACAGACAAAGGATCGCAAGCGATCTTCCTTCCCTTCCCATCCTTGGACGCGAATGACCAGTGCCCTTTACTCACAACCAAACCAAACCAGAGCAATGCGAGGTGGGTGTAGAACGTAGTGTGCGGCGTGTTTCAGGCCAACAGGAGTGCGGCTCGGTGTGGCTGACGGTGTCGTCGCTGTGGCACGCGGCGGCAGACGACGTGCGTGGCGTGACGGAGCGCGAGCTCGAGTTCAACTGGGACCCCAGCTGCCCGCCCGAGTGGGTGTTGCTCTTTGACCACGAGCCGCCCGCCCAGATCGGCGACCCCAACGACGAGGCAGGTGAGGAATGCGCTCTCACGCGCTGTGGTGCTGCACAGCCCCGACAGACTGGTTGGTTGGAATACCTTGAAATATCTTTGATGAGTTTCACATTCTGTATTCATTCGAAAACCCGAAAAAATAGAAATTTTATCACATATAATTCAACAACACAAGCTAATGATTTTTATCTTCAAATTTGAAACATCAGTGTTCTAAAGCATTATTGTTGTTACTGTTATTACTATTATTATTATTATTATTATTATATTATTATTATTATTATTATTATTATTATCGTCTCATATTATTTCAGTAGTATTCACACCTTTTGCGGTTCTCACACGCAACAAATCTTCATAAATGATATCTTCGAAAGAAAGAATTTCACGGAGACGTGACGATTTGCACATTTTCTTTAAAAATATGAAGTATTAATTGAAAAATACGTATCTAAATATTCACGTCAAATACAACTCGCAACACGCGGCCGCTTGTTAAAATCTATTTAGTTAAATAACTCCTAAACAAAGCGTTCTAGGGCCTTAAAACCTGAAATATTGAGGCCAAGGGCCTCAAAGAAACGTTTCCCAAATTGTAAAGGCTTTATATTAAATTATTGCTGGGCCGGTGCTTATCGAAACTAAACTACTACGGCTTTCTTGTTGCTCAGTGTGTATTACGGTAATGATAGGAACCGTCTTGACTGTGATACTAGAATTGACATACTACATCACCCAGGAGTATCAAGAGGAATATCAGCTGGTTTCCAGTAAGATGGTTTACATTAGCATCTTTTGTGACATATTGTCACTGACTTCGTCACTACGATGGTTTTCAGGAGCTGATATAAAAACGTATACCTCTGTGAAATCATTACGTTATAATAATCCTGTTATTTCGTTTACGGTCATTATGAAATGATAAGACAAAAGAACAGTGGCGTGTGGTGAGTTAGTGTGGCGTGTGGTAATATAGATAAGCAATGAAATATAGCCGATATAGTCCAGTCAAATGGTAGAAAATAGGAGAAAGTTTTTGTGTAGTTTTGATATTTGGGTCCTAATTGTTTGTGGGGTTGCTGAACACGAATATCAGGTTAGCCAACCAAACTTTTGCCCGGAAACACGTTTTTTGCGAAAAAACTGTTAAAAATCAGACATTTTTCAGTTGTAGTTGTTTTAAATAACTCGAAAACCACCCAATTGTTGTAAGGTCATGTGAAATAAAAGAAGATAAAACTGCCTTTATATCTTAAGGATTTTTTCTGCAACAAGATATTTAGCTGTTAAATCATCGAGAACCACTGTCATACGACAGGGGCGGTTCCATAGAGGAATTTTGGAAAGGGAAATTCAAAATGTTTTCGTCAAATATGTATATTGAATATTGTATATATATCAACAGTTAGGCCGCTGCCAGGCATGGAACCCAAAACATTTCTTGAATGTTACTATGAGAATGGCACCTCACTTACTTTCTCTCACTAACTCTCTAACTCCTGTACGTAATTATAATTAAGTACAAGCAATATAGTTGGCTACTACTATATACGACGGCTGTTGAGCCATTCCAACTGAAAAAAGCAAAGTTGTAAAAAAGGTGAAAAAGGAAAATGAATATTTTCAAAGCCTATGCACCTCACCTTCATCGATTCATCCTTTTGTTTCAAGGGCCTGGCTTTTCATCGTCATCCGCTACAAGAAATAGATAAATGGAATTTTATTTCTTTCGGTATTATGGTATTATTTCTTCAGGATGGTTTCACCTAATACCCTGTGGAATGTCCTGCTCCACTTCCTCTGCTTTGTTAGTTCCATAGTTTGGGAAATCTGGCTTCATCTCGTTATCTCGTTCTTCAATTCTAGTTCGTTCTCTAGGTCACCTTCTAAAACCACTATCATACGACTGATGCGATTCCATAGACAAATTTTGGAAGAGAAAATTCAAAATGTTTTCGTCAAATATCTATTTTATAGATTTTGTAAAACGTCGCAGACAACACCCATCTCATGCTGCGATACAAATTTATTTCTTTTAATGATAATTCAAAAATATTTTTGATTGAAAGTTTAGCGACAAGTTAAAATTAATAGTCACTGAAAAATTGTAGGAAGATAATATCCCTCATGGATTCCCGCCTGCATACGAGTAGTATCATAACTCTTCTCGTAATTGAGGCACAAGTTAGAGAATTTAAGCCCTGCCTTCTTGCAGCCACAATTAGAAAATTTAAGCCCTGCCTTCTTGCAGCCACAATTAGAGAATTTAAGCCCTGCCTTCTCGCAGCCACAATTTTTCAGACATTTTTTGGTGCATTTGCATGAAACAAGTGTCAGTAAAGCTGAGGGTGCGAGTAACAATGTTATCACAGGCGCAAGGCCATTGTTAATTATTTTCCATTTCTATTCTTCAGGATATTTTTGACACCTAGCCATTAGTAGACTCTTCAAGAGTGTTGTTGTGCTGCACCTGCAGATAGTGGTAGTGCAGCAGTGGTTGGCTTGTACTTGAAGGCAGATTTGATGTAAAAAACATCACTAATTTTGTTGCGTGATGGCGCTTTCTTCTTACTGTAGCATATAATGAAAGAAGAAAGCGTCTACCAGCATCAGCAACCATCTTCTGAGTCGCGCTGGAGTTTTTGAATTATTTTATTGTGTCAACAAGATTATGGTTCTTGGTCAGAGTCTGAAGAAACGGCTGCTGCTTCAACTCGAAGTTTTTCCTGCTGTGCAGATTTACATTTTTGCTGATATGCGTTAGTCAATATCTTCTCTCCAGTATTTTTGAAACACACGCCAGTTTTTTTCGACATGTTGCTAGTGAACAGACTTTTTTCTCTATATTTTTCAACGAGTCGAGGCTTCGCCTTTTTTACGTCAGGTTGATAATTTTCTGTGATCTGCTCCATCAACTCTTCCATGGAGAATTGGCACTTATCATTGCTGTTTTCAAGGTAGCTGTAAATACATTGCATTGCTCTATTAATGTCTTCAGAAAATGTCCCACTTCTCTTGTGTTCTTCGGCCTTTGGACGACCATAATAGCTTTCAAACAGTTAATGTAGTATCGAGCATCAGCTGCAATCAAATCAACAACTGACTCGACGTGCTGAATTATAGTTCATTTCGAGCTCTTGCTGCTTTGAGGACTGTGTCGAACCCCAATGTGTCGAACAGTGGATACAGTACTGCACTCCCTTGCTGGATTTCTCGATTGTGTATCAATGCACTCTTCACTAACGCGCAGCCCACACAAAAACCAATGAGATCGAAAATCAAACAAGAGTTGATGACCGTAAAAACTTGAGGTGTGATACCTGTTTGTTCCTCGGCCCTTTCCAGGTATACAGCAACCATCCGTTCATTCACGTAGGCCTTTCTACATCGTTCATGCACATTTACTGATTTCTCCCTTAAACGTAGCCACCTGTCTTTTCATACTGGGTCTGATAAATGATACAATGCCATTACTTTTACATCTTTTCCCCTCCTCTAATAAAGAATCGGAAATAAAACATACGGACATTATGTCACACAGTCACTCCCGAGACAATCATTAAATATCGAGAAAATAATCACTACAATGCCCAGCAACAACTGAGAATTTCGCTGTTCAGTTGGACACACAAATAACTCAAAGTGGATTATTCAATGATAACTATTCAAGGAAAACGATTGCGCGGTCCATAGTAGCTGCGTCGCACTGGTCAACAATAACGCATTGTTGACCACACCTAATACTTAAGGAGTAACCCAGCATCTGTATCCGTACAGAAAGAATAGTTATCTTACACGCCAGAAGGCCAGAATCAAATACTGAGAGAAAAGTATACAAGCTAACATCTAGTTTCGTAGCTCTCTTGCGACTTGCTACATAAGATGTAGGCAATTTTATCACCAAGAAATAATATAATATATAATGCCGAGAGTAATAAAATTCTATTTACCTCTTTCTATGAAGCTGAGGTCGATGGAAAGCCAGGGACTTCAAACGAAGATGAAGGGGAGATGAAGGGGAGATGCATCGACTTCACAAATATTCATTTCCCTTTTTTACCTTGTTAATTAAAAACTTCATATATGCGTAGATGAAGGGGAGGTGCATCGACTTCACAAATATTCATTTCCCTTTTTTACCTTGTTAATTAAAAACTTCATATATAACCTTTACTTACAAAAAGTGGATGGTTTTCAAGTTATTTTGAAAAAACTGAAAAATGTCGGATTTTCAACATTTTATTTTCACAAAAAAAGTGTTTCCGGGCAACATTTTTATTGGCAAACCTGATATTCGTGTTCAGCGACCCCAAAAACAATTAGGGCCCAAATATAAAAACTACATCAAAACTTTCCGCTATTTGCCATTTTTAGCACCATTTGACTGGACTAGTAAGCCATCCATTATTTTCAAAACGTTGGCTATTAAACTTCCTTTCACATGTTCTTATGATTCACGAAGCGACAAATGCCCAAATGCTGACACTTCAGGAAGGTCTCCCACAACAATGAAGAACTCTATAGGGTAAACTTATTCTCATTGTTTGTTGCAAACACAATACTGTAGCATACATAAATTTCCCTTACTCGTTCCAAGAGAACAGAAAAATACGCTGTCCCATTTTGGGGGCAATGGAAATATACAGTTTCCCCTAGTGCCTGAGTACACAGCGTTCCATCGCCTGCCGGCCGAGCAATTGACAAAGCAGGCGGCGTGGCCGCGTTGCGCGCAGGGCGCGGGGCGGCGGGCGTGCTGGCGCGCGCGTGGCCGGGCGAGCACCCCGACGGCTTCGCGCGCACCAACGTGAGCGCGGGTCGGCCGGCGCTGCCGGGCGGCTGGGAGCGCGGCGGCCGCCCCACCCCGGCGCCCGGCGACCACTGCCTGGGCTTCTGGGCGGGCGCCTACCGCGCCGGCCGCCGCCTGCACGCGGACTGCCTCAAGATCCGGCCCACGTGGATGTGGGACCACAGGTGAGCTCTTCTGCCGTGCCCCTCGCTCCCCGCAAGACGGGCGGCTCCTGCTTGAAGAAGTAGGGGAAGAGCTTCCGTATTGTTTACCAACATCTACTTGAGAGTTCTGATACAAATCTTCTAAAAATGATCATAAAATTAGCGAAATGGTCTAGTACAAAAAAAATACAAATATTATGTGCTTCCACTTTTGTTTCATAAGTGTGTTCACGGTTTAATTATATATTTCATTTCACTTCATAATTCTCATAATTGCATAATATAATTCGAGTAATACTGTGCTGGACGCCCGGACCGAATTAGTCGAAATTACGTTATTCGTAGTAATTTATTCAAATTAATTTACCAATAGGAAAACACGAACGCCACTGTCACGCCACTTGCTGGATTTAGTTAGGCCTTTGATGCTTTCTCTGCCCTGTTCCTTCACAATAAGATCTCCGAACGTAATTCATCGTAGCTTCGAAACAGACCTTTGGTATATACAGTATATACAGTCCATCATTTACCTGCATGATACGCAATTTTGATTGTAGAATTTGTGTTGACATTTGCTTGAAAATAGATTTCGCACCTCTTGATCTATGCTTTGTAAAGAATTTTACAAAAAATTATTGAGATGCTAATCCAGACAGAAATTGCCGTAACTGTCTTACGTAACCTTTCCTAATGGCGAGAAAGCATGTGTTGTTTTACCATACCACCACTAATTTTTATCTTGCATTTTAATGACTTACGTATCAAAAATGGAGATCAAATGAATTTACTCATGCTTCATTTGCAGTGCTTTACCTCACTGTTTCGCATCTTCCTTTTCTTGTTCTACCTCCGGTTAAAAAAAAGACGATATCCACTTGAAAGTCGGAGTACGTTACGAGGTAGATGCGATGCCGCCGCCTCCGCTCGCTCACTCTCCTCCATGTGCGAGGCTCAGCGCTGCCTGTCGCCACTCGGGCCCCAGCGAGCGGCTCCGACGTCGACCGACCGTTGCACGAGTAACAATGCCAGCCGATAAGACATTTTAGGTGGAAAAAATCACCGTGTTCCTCTCAATGAAAAGAACAAATGTTTCTAATTTCATTTTGCTGACATGAGCAAGGGAAATTGGCACATTTCGAAAAATTGTCATTCTGCAGGGGATCGGTTTTATTCTGTGAGGAAGCGTGCATTTCGCGGTAAAAGGCAAAGTGTGTTACTCTCTATATCTGTCTACTCTCTATATGCCTCTACTTTGAGAAACTATTGTGACGTCATGGATACTCACAGCGACCACAGACACAGAGCTTTCGTATAACAATATATTTATTAACAAGAAAACAAAACAAATATATACACTTAATAATCTACTTACACCCTAGCTCTGATAGACCCACTATCCCCTGATCGCGGGAGCGATCCAAACCCGATTGAAGATGGTTTTGATTGTGGCATTCGCCACTCCTACTTTTGAAGCGCGCACAAAGCCTAGCTTCCGTGACCGGATGTCACGCTGGGACACAAAGTCCGTTCTGGCGCACCAACGGCTGGTTTGCCTCGATCGCAGGAGCGATCTTATCCGATTGAGAATCGGCGTGAATCGTGGCACTCAACCACTCTTCACCTCGGAGCACGCACACAGCATCGCTCCCCCGTGACCGCAGTCACCCAAGGACCTAAAGTCCGCAGGCTTCGTCAACTAGTGACTCGAGCCTCGCGAGCCTGGCTCGCATATGCACCGTTTTGGCGCCAAGTTTTGTGCACACGCACGAGGTTCTCCCACTGTCTCCAGAACCCACCCACTGGCTCTGTACACTCTGTTATATAGGCGAGGACCACGTGACCTACTACGTCACGCCACCCCGTCGCTTGTTATGACAGTGAAAAGCTTCAATAAGCCGGAAACTCCCAAAGCCTTGTGTCTCCCGTTTCCGCGTTCTTCCCTTTACGGAAAAACCCTACTTCCTGTGGCTAGTCTAATCCTCTTCCAAGCGTCCCCAAATAGATGCCATGAGGCACGCTGGCTAATACGTTACACTATGAATACGAAAGTTAAAAAAATTGTATATCTTAAACATATTTCTTAACTGACGACTTAAAGACGATTTTCAACATGTCTCACTATTTTTGTGTGCACTTATACAAGCTCTCTCAAAATAAATGTAACAAAATTCTATGGCATTTAGGAGAATAAAGGTTATTACTTATTGCCAATGACCATGAGGTGGATAATCTCTTGAAGAAGTTACTAATGTTGTCCCTGATTTGTAGGAAACTCATGTTGTACTGTTGTTATGAAGACACCAGAAATCTACTTTACTCTATCAGCACGTATACATGTTACAACCTGTACCCTGTGAGTTGCCTACTCATCAGGGATAAATGCAACGCGTTTAACCTCGTTTTATGCGATTTTACACTCTTTGGTCGACAAAATGGGATCATCTTCAACTCCCTTTAGGCCAGGGAAGTTTGTAATTTTATGTGGAGTCCCTCTATACAAAGCGAAGGCTCGAGTGGGCAGGGCAGTGAGCCGTGGTCGACCGCGCGTGCGCAGGCAGCAGCTGGGGCAGCTGCCGCTGGCGTCGCTCTTCCTGCCGGGGACGCACAACTCGGGCTGCTACCACAAGAGCGGCGGGCTGACGCGCCGCGACACCTTCGCGCGCTACCTGCTCACGCAGGACACGGACGTGTGGGGCCAGCTGGTGCACGGCATCCGCTACCTGGACTTGCGCGTCGGCTACTACCCGGCGCGCGGCAAGGGGCCCCCGGGCCAGCACCACGCCTCCAGGTCAGTGCTCCCGCACCAGACGCCGGCGTTTCCAAATCGACCACCAAAAGAACAATTAGAAATTGACACGCATGTTAATTGGGGACCGACTACCTAATCCCCTTTCTAGTAAAAGTGGAAGTCGACACTATTTTCGATTAACATTTTCATAGTCGTTATGTTTAAAGCACAATTCCCTTCCCAATTTTCCAGAATCAGGCCTGCCATATTTCTTTCGAAATATGTTTTAAAGTTGGTTTTTATTCAAATGAATCATTAGTTGATTGAATGAATTCTGCTTATCTTGCTATTTTTGTATTCTTCCTTCTTCTCAACTTATATTCTATAATGCTCAACATGAAATTCGGACACTCTTCAAGTGCTGTCTTTGCTTTTTATTTCAACATAGCGAGTCTGAATGATTTTCAATACAGCGCAAGGAAAAGCTGGACAGCAGTAAGGCGGCGACCCTCTTCGCGCTTACCTGCTCAATCAGCCTTTTCCTTGCCTAAGTTGGTTTGTTCCCCACTTTACGTGTAGAATTAGAAAGTAAGTTTTGCGAGAAAAGATGAAGGGATTACTTGAACCTCAATAATACAGCCCCAGACGCGATCTAAAAGGAAATCTCGATGCGCAAGACCCAACATCTTTCAAAATTGTCATTCGCTTGATCACATATTTACTTGCGTGAGTTAAATGAAACAGAGTATTAAAATGTATACAATAGTTTGGGTACGTGAGTTTTGATAGCACGGGAAGTAAGGCCCGTAAGTGTAGTGCAAGTTACATCTCAGGCCGTGGTAGTGGAGTACCTCTCGTACAGGAAGGGAGACGAGACGCCGACTCGTATGTCGGCGTGAGGGGACTTTCTCCACAGGTGTATCTCCCCCCAGTGGGACACCATCCCAGACGGGACAATCTCAAAGATCCCGACATGAGTGGTAGTGTAATGTGTAAGTGTGTGCGTGTGTGGGAGGGGAGAGAAAAGAGTGAGGATGAAGAAGAAAAGGTCGTTTTCCGCTTGTTAGGGTCAAACTTCGGCATTCGCCATCTGTGCGTCGAATATTCTCAACTGACGGAATAGACCTCCTGTTTAATGTCACTGCAGAGGCAACAATATCTCCACAGAGCTACAACAGACGGCATGTTACAGTTTAATTCGTTTATTTAAATTACGATCGTGATGTTTTATCCCGATTGGACAGGCAGATTTTTAGTGACTAACAGAAATCATTCGAAACTGCTCAGAAATAAACAATGAAAACAAATGAAATGTGGAATATTGATATGAAGATTGAAACAATATGTATGAAGTGCTGGCCATGGAAGATTACAGATATATTCTCCCATTTGCTGACGTTATATTTGGGTCTTGATGTAACTTAATAAGAGTTTTTACAAAAGCTCCACGTAAAACTTGATTAACCAACCACGTAGCCAATAATGTGCGAAGTGTGAAGAGAGGTTTTTTTATTTTATTTTTTCACGTCTCTTTCTAAAAGGAAATAGTTCCAAACTGTGGCAGCAGATTCTGCGCTAAATTCCCATTATGCCTCATAATCTTGACTCGCATTTGTTCGACAAAAGCTCTCCCCTAACCACCGATCCGTATAGACAGTTATATTTCTAAATCATTGTGATTATTATATAGGCAATTATTGCAGAACACAGTTAAATGCCCCCAAGGCAATTGTACATCTTGGCAATGTGGAGTTAGCAACATACTCTGCCGCCACAGTTGGGAACAGATTTCACATAGCGTGATCACGTGAGCAGTTCAGAGTACGACATAAATAAGTAATTACACTCTTCAATATTGATGGAATTGCGTTCTCCGCTATCACTAGCGTAACGCATAACGTGGACTTTCGCAAATGCACAGAGACTTAAAAGTGGGTTAATAGCATATACGCTAAAGTGCTTCACGTTCTGCAAAAGCTCTCTATCCTGTTCAGATTGATGTCGTCCCTTTCAAGAAATAATACGTTTATTTTAGGACAACGGCCGACGGCAGATACATTTTATCGTTACACTACCTACAGAGCTGGGTCGAAATCAACCACTGTCTGAAGGAGACATCTAACAGCCGATTGTTTTGATCAGTAGTTTTCCGTGGTTTCTTCGATCCATGCCAGGTGGTAACGCCAGAGCAGTGCCGTAACAAACTGGTACGAACTGCACATGATCTTTCCTTCCTTAATCTTGTCTTCTTTCCCCTCCACTTATATGCACTTTACTTCTGCACATCCCGGGAGACCAGTCGGAAGTTTAGAACTTGTCTCGGTTGGGTCAGTGCCATGCTAAAAGAGATACCTGGATGGGATATCCACCGCAAGCCGACGTATACGTCGGCGCTGGATCTCAACATCCAGGGGGAAAGGAATCATCGCCTTTTCGCGATAAAAACACACCCTACACTAATGACCATAGCAGTTGACGTGGCACGGAAATATCAATCCAGCAGGGAGAGACGTCATATCCCGAGATTTAATATGCACGACTATGAGAGCTGTTCTCTAACAAACGATCCTAGCCTCATCCCTTACTTGCACACACAAGGCTTATCCTTTACTTCCCTTACTTACAGGCACCGCACCTCCACGCATGTCGAAAGACTAGTCGAGAGCTTAGAGCTTGTCCCAGCTGGGCAGTGCCCCGCTGGTGGGAGAAACATGGCTTTGGCAAACCCCGCATGCCGACTTGTAGGTCGGCGCCAGATTTCATCTTCCAGCTAGGAAAGATTACTGCCACCTCCAGTGAACAAACACGCACTGCGCTTACAGGACTAATTATCATAGCAGTTGACTCGCGCAGAAACATGAAATAATCAGTTCACCCAATCTAGGACGGAAATTGGTTGGAAATTGAATGGCGCGCGCACCTGCCGCTTCGCAGGTTCTCGGTGAACCACGACCTGCTGCGCGTGGGGCCGCTGCTGCCGGTGCTGCACGATCTGAAGCGCTTCCTGAACGCGTCGCGCGGGGAGGTGGTGGTGCTGGACCTGCACCGCTTCCCCGTGGGCTTCCACACGCGCCAGGGCCGCCACCGCAAGCTGGTGTCGCTGCTGGTGCGCGAGCTGGGGCCCTTCATCATCCCGTCGACGGCCGCCACGCCCACCTCCACGCTGGCGCAGATCTGGTCGCGCGAGCGCCGCCTCATCATCACGTATGGAGACAAGGCCGTCGCTCGAGGTACGCGCTGCACGGGTGTTTTCAAAGCAACTGAGTTTAACTGCATCAATGTTTCGTACTCGATATTTTTAAGTTTAGATTTTTTGTTTGTGGATGAAAAATTCCTACTGTCACAATTTTGAACAGATAGAATATGAAATAACTAGTTGAAGTACCCCGCGTTGCCCCGTTTCTTTGTTGTTATTTTGTTTGTTTTTTCATAGGTAATACGAGTGCATTGGAAATTGTCAGTTACATTTAAGTCATATTTGTCAAGATTTTGGAGTAAAAATCCCAAATATAACAATATCGAATGGTAGTCTGCCTTTGAATAGTCGTATTGCCATCTTTCACAATCAATGTGTTAAAAAAGTACAATCAATAAAAAGCAATGGATGATAGACCTCGGACATGTAGGCACTAAAAAAGTCAAGAATAGGTAGGGAAATAGGCACTTAAAAATACGCATTATAGTTGAAAATAGGCAGGCAAAGAGGAACCCGCGGCTGGTTGCTTCGGTTTCAAGCTTGATGTTCCTTGAGTTTCCATGGGTCAAAGCACTGTGCTCTACGTGGAGGGCAGAAACGCACGACTGCCACAGCCTGGCGACACCCGCTGCGCCGCGTGGAAAAGCGATCAATTTCATTAGCTACTTGCGCCATAACGCTTCCAAAAGAAAGCAAAAGGAGTTCGTATACTAAAAATTAGGGCGAGCAAAAGCGCTTTCGGAGAGCGGACAGTCAGTGTACAAACTTCACTTATTGGTCATCTACGTCGTTACTCTCTTCTGCGGACGCCTTTGGCCTTCCCTCGGAGGTAGCCGTCGCCTCACATCTTCGAAGAGCTCCCATACGTACCCGACTCAAATTTTTCGAAGTTCAGCTGCCGGAGGTGGCCCAGGAGCCGTCTTTGCCCCTCAGCTAGGCCGAGTTGACCTATATTCCAAGTTTCATTGGCGGAAGTAGCCTCAGAGACCAAGCAACCTGTCGCTCCGCGGGAGCGCTCTAGATCGTGTCGACTCATCAAGTTTCGGGCTTTCGGCGCAGGTCGCCCCGCGCCTCACCGGGATCATTTGAACGTTATACGGTTTTAAAGGGACCTTCTATAAGTGTGAAAAACGTATAAACGGAAAACGCACAACAGAAAAAATTTAGCATGGGCAATTATCCGGGACCACCAAACAAACGTATAAACGTGAAAAACGTATAAATGAGAAACTTATAAACGGAGTTACACCGTATGTTGTAAGGAATATTGTAACGTTTCTCCGTGGTGAATTAAAACCAACACAATATTTAAACAATTACGTTTATTCGTGAACAATTATACACTAAAATCTACTTGGTCTATTGATATATTACACTTAATTATTTTTCTTTACACACGATTCCGTTCTCTTGATGATTTATTTACACAGTTCTCTTCTTACACACTATTTTATTTACACCGTTCTCTTCTTCTGCAGTATCACCCAGTCCGATGCTCTGTCCACGGTTCACTGCACTGACCCAATTCCCTGCGCACACCAGGGTCCACTGCACTGCTGCTTACCACGATGCACCCTTCACAGCACAGCTTCCACTTCGGATACACTGACGGACTGACTGCTTCTCTGCTACTCACTGACGTCTTACTACCCACTGACTTCTACTCACTCCTGACTCGCGGCCGTCGGCAGCGGCGCATTTATACCTGCCCGGCGCTTGTCTCCAGGCACCCGACACATTCTCGGCGTTTCCCCGCGGCTCGCGGATAGTCCGGAACCGTCTAGTTCGGGGGGGTGGGAAGGGGCGCCGGCAGATGACGCAATCCACGCGCAGCGAATTCGGCAAGTGATGCAATATTCGTAACAATATGTTTGGCACAGTTTACCACTTATTCACAACACTGACAAAAAAAGTACATTTCCGTCCGCCATGAAACATCCGCGTATCCACTCTTTTAAAAATGCTCTTCTCGATACTTTTGAAATTGTAGCAAGCATGCTTAACAGGAACAGCAAACGTTCTGATCTGGCATGTACCAAATTTTAAAGCCAATATAAAATTATTATCGAAGAAAACTTCACCTACTACTACTTCTTCTAAAGTTGTGTTCTTGGTAAGGAAAAGATACTACCTCACTAATGATAGAGAAGATCAGAAAGACGACAGCAATTTCCGGTTCTCTGGTGCCCTTATTTTATTATAAACATTTTCAGGTTTTACAAGGTTTAGTTCACTCTCTACATTTGTATTGTTGGCTTAATACAAGCTTAATGTCAATAATGTAATCCTAAAAAAGATATTTTTGGGGGAGGAATCTTTTGCAAGGAGACCTTAGAGTTGTTACATTTAGGAAAGCTTTGTAAAGAAAGTATAGAAGGAAAATCTATTTTTAATACTGGTAACATGAGTGGGATTTCTGCTTAATTTCATTCTCGAGATTTGAGGATAGCTATGATAAAACTGTGAGGAGAGATGGTAAGATTCCTACAGTTTCGAGTTGGAATTCATGTGGCAGCTATTGGTTGGGAATAAACTGTGGTGCATGTATAATTGTATGGAAGCACACTAACGGGCTTTGGCGAAATAGATAAGCTTATTTGGCACTGTCAAAATCAAATACATTCTAAGCGGTGTCCATCCTTGCCTGTCACAAGCAAAAACACACAGGTCGTAGAGCTTCTCGGCCAGAGGTCGTCCAGATACATTTTACGGGGTTGTTACTAGTTTGGTAAAAATCACGAACAGTGATTTCTCAAAAAATTATTGTATAATACAAAGTAATAGGAACAAAAAAAAATAAAAAGTACGTAAAAATCAATATAGGGACTAATAGGGTCTTAACATTTGAATAGGCAATTATCTCTAATTTAGGCATTTATGGGCACTATAAAACCCTCGCAAAAGCCATTTCTTAGGTGAGCTTGAATAGTGGAGTAAGTTGCCTGAAAATACATTCAAAGAAATAAAATAGGCAAATAGGGGATTGTCTGAGCTCAAGTGATAAACATCAGCTGACACAACCCACTCAAGACATATTACCAAAGTATCTATGAAATCAGTGAAAAATAAGTCCAAGGTTACATTTTTGCTATTTGTAGTCGAATTATTCTGAAAAAGATTTAAGAAACAGATTGTGTCAGTTAGTGTTGTCACACAAGTTCTTTCGCACAAAGCATTTTTATCATCAAAATAAGGTAACTTGCTTCTATTATGCCCCCATCACACATTGAAATCGCCAAAAATCATCCAATTGGATTCTGGGTACTCCAGAGTCAAGGTATCTATTCTAGAAAAATGTGACACCAAAATTTTACCTGTAGATAAAGGTGAGAAATATACATTTGAAACTATAACATCAATATCTTTGATTCGCAAATGAAGAAAAAGATGTCCTACATCATTGGAACCTTCAATCAACACACAGTGATACACTTTTCATTCCAATATGAGGTCACTTTCATACCTGCTATCTAATTTGAAGAAATGAAATTGTAATGAGACAACCAGCCATAATACCACATCAGTGGCCAGTTTATTGTTTCTTGATTCTCGGGATCCCCCACCCTTTGATTTCCTCGAGAATGAGACTACCATCACCTCTACTAAGCGTGCTATTAATACAATGTCGAGCATTTCTATAAATTATAAAATCTTTCAAACTAAATTCAGAGCTCAAAATCTCTGGTACCAACCACGTGTCAGTAAACACAAATATGTCATAATCGTGCAGTATACGGCTAAATAATCCAATTTCCATAATTTTATTTCTCAATCCTCTAACATTTTGGTAGTAAATTTTCAAATTGTCCTGAGTTAGACTTTTTTTGTCTTTAAATTTATCCTCTTGGAGCAACGAAGTAAACAATTTTTCGCTGTCCAGTGATGTGTTTGAGGGTTTTCACTCTACCACTTTTGTTGACAACATCCATTCTTCTCTCAATTAAGATGACTTCTTTGAAATAATGTTGTCACTTTTAATCTTAAAAGGATCAGCACATTTATTCCTGCCCTTGAATTTGAATATTGAACAAATTAAGATTTTAACTAAAAGTAATGTGAGTTTATAAACAAAATAGAATACTGTTACAAATAATGTTAAATATTATTTGTACTGTTATTAAAATATAAGGAGTCATAAGATGATGCACTCATTCTTAATTTTGATTTAGGCAGCAGATTTTGAAAACTAGCCATTTGGTTCTACATCACAATGTGCAGATTTACTGAGTACCTGTACAGTATAATATTTGATACTCGAATCATCTGCTGTAAGATGCACACACACTGCCATCCACTTCTACCACACAATGTCCACAATGTCACACACATCACATCCACTACATTGAAGAGCATTGATTTTTATCATCTACTTTCGTATAACAAGATTCAGAAAGCTATAAGAAGCAGAAGTGACTTGTGGAATTGCCAGAATCCCTATCGATATCAGAACCATTATCTCACTCAAGTTACAATGATCCATCTTACAAAGTACAGGCTGAAGGTTTGTGGAAATAGAATTAACTGAAAAGCCTTTTCATAAATTGCTTTTGCTAAATAAAAATATTATTTCTTGTGCTTTACAAACACTGAACTAATTAATGTTCCTTCTGAAACTCATATTCACTTTTGCAGTGATTCACATTTTTATACCAAAAGGAAATCAAAGTTCAGGTACACACTTACTCAAAACTGTTGTTTATCGAACAATTGCATAATTTCAGAGCGGTTTCATACACGTGCCAACTAGAGAAACAAGAGTTAGCATTATTATTAAAGAATCAAAGCAACAAATGTTTTCTGGTAAGGTGGATAAAGTATAAATCTCATTATTTTTAGTATAAAGAGATGCAGATTTGCCTATCTTATTTCACTACCCCGAGTTACAGGGAAAGTTAATAAACCTGAATTCTGACATGAATATTCTTCTGCACCAATAGTTCTCCCTTGAAGTTAGGCATGGGAGGCTAAGTTAATTCAAAATATTAAATGTGAGGTAACTTTCATACCTGCCATCTAATTTGAAGAAATGAAACTAATGGCACAACCAGCAATGATACATCAGTGGCCAGTTTATTGTTTCTTGGAATCCCCCCCACCCTTTGATTTCCTTGAGAATGAAGCTAAGACAGGACATGTCAGGCAAATGCTTTTTATAATGTCGAAAATTTTATTTTAACCTCTGAAAATCCAGAGAAAGGTATACTTATATTTTTCTAAAAGGGGTCTCTTAAAAAAGGGAAATTTAAAAATTTGCTTTTAGAAGCTGGTCAATGATCAGAGAGAGGGGTGGTCTGTTAACAGGGGAAACATTTTGCAAACAGTATAGAAGTTTCAACGTGCATTCCAAGACCATTCTGTCACTGAGAGGGGACTCTTGCAGAGTGGTTTCACTGTATTTTGTAAAGGTTTATGAACAGGCTGTGCATAATGCAAGTATAATTATTTTAATATTATTATATTGCAATTTTTACCTTCAGCAAACAAAAATATAAAGAAAAAATTTGAAGTCTGATCCACATGCAGCTCAATTTTCTGTTGAAACATTGTTTCTTACAAATCATTTCTTGTTTCTCAACTGCTAAATGTCCAAATTATCAACAATAACCTTCTCACATGTTCCTCTGTATATCTTACTTAGGGTTCCTCTATTCGGCTTGTAACAATAAGAATTATTTTTACAGTTATGCTTCATATCCTCAGAATTCTTATCAAAGCTACGAGAAGAAGCAAAAACGGGGCATAACTGCAAAATATGAGAATGAAATATTCTTAAAATCCACTTTTTTCTACTTTGTCTAAATAATTTTGAATTTATCTAATTTCTTAGCTTGATTGAGCTTTTTAACGTCAAAAAATATATAAAGAAAATTTTATATATATTAATATAAAAATTTACAGCAATTTTTGGGCAAATTTATCTTCATTAAGTATCTCAAAATAAATATTAAATAATGAATTTCTTTCATGGGAGTACATTTTTGTACAAATCCATTGTTTCTCTTTTTTGCAGAGAGTAAATGGCTGTGGGGACCTATCAACCAGATGTGGGGCAACCAACAAACGCCAGGGGGACTGAAGAATTTCCTTCAACGCACCATGGACACTGCCCGCCCTCGTAGCGATGAACCACAGTTGTGGGCTGCAATGGCAGAGCTCACTCCAACACCATTGGAAGTGATGTTCAAACCCTCAGGATCCTTACGCCAAATGGCAGACTCAATTAATCGCAATGTAACTACTTGGTTTAAAACAATGTGGTGGCAAAAAGCTAACATTGTGGCAACAGACTTCTTCCTTGGAAACGACCTCATTAATGTAGCTGTTGCGGCCAACCTAAGGAAAATGAATTTGGTGGAAGCTCGATAGTCTGCTTAAATTCCACTGTGTGATAAAAAAGACTGTAAATTTAATGTTTAATTTAAGATACATATCAGCATTCAAAGACTAAATGGAATGCCAAACTTCATGAAAGTTGCTAATTAAAAGGAATATTCCGTTTCAATTATCTATATGATTCATTACAAATTTAATTCTTTCAAATTAAGTAAATTAGATGGAAAGAATCACCTAAGTCATACTATACATAGGTCTAAATCTCCTTGATACAGTATCAGTAAAGAATATATTAATATTATTGAGAACATATATAAAATATGCATAGTAACATATATTCTAAAATAGAATTCCTAATTCCTAGTTTTCAATGGATGTGCTGAAGAATAAAGAAAATATTTCCAAAATTTGTTTATTTGATAATTTTTACTTTTACATAATACAATTAGACTCAAGCGCACACACCTTAAAAACGTTTTTTTATGGTTGATGAAGCATTTCCATTTGTGCTGCAGCAACACTCTTCATTCCTTCTTGTGTGACCTATGTATGCAAACAAAGAGGGAAAACAAGTTTGAATTTGTAATTTTTAGATGTCATTTATCTGCAGTGAAAGTTATGGTTAAATAAAAATTCAAGAATTATTGAAGATGAACAGAGTAATTTGACAAATGCCAATTAACACATTCACCAAAATCAAAATCGAAGTTTAATTCAGATTGGTCTAATGAACTAGTCAATTGTCCTTTTTTTATCGTCATCTTTACAATTTAACACATCTTCATAGAAAGGATTCTGCCAATTAGAGATAGGAGACATGCAAATTTTTAAAATGCTTCTATTCATCTCTTTCTTTGAAACTGTACCTAAATTAACACAAAACATTTAATTTCCAGAAATAGCAGCAACCTCATGTTAATATGGAGACATTAAAAAACAACCATGCCTTTTTGTCATTCATTCAATTTTGAAAACTAACCAAGCCCTCTTCTATGATGACAATTTTATATTACTCACAAAATGGACATCACATTTAGCATTGCATTTTCCAAAAACATATATAACCAATCTTTTGTAAATTAGTCTGTCTGCAGTGATCTTACACTCAACGTCATTTACATACGGAAATCTTAACAATCTTCATTTCAGCCATGAATTTTGGACATTTCTTTTCCAGGATTAGCAACTGTGTAATAGAGAGCAGATCTATCACCCCAGTACAGATATTACTTGAGTGATAAAGGATTAGAATTTGGCACAGAGAGACATCATTTGGCTCAACATTCTTTAACTTCTTGTAAAATCTGTGACATGCAATGGTTGGCTTTACTTTCCTTATAAAAGAAGATTATGAAGGACATTTTCAATCTTAAAAGCAACTACTTCAACTAGGTTCAAATCTCCTAACTTGTCAATAATAGTGTGATTCATAACTTATCCCACCAGTAAGGCCTCTGTTTTGTAATTCATACAAAAAATACTTGCCATACCAGTAAAAAAACACTTCACCAAGGAGTAATATAATAGCAACAAATATAATTGTATTGTTAGCTCAAATTTAACAATGAAAAAATTAATTACCTGTAGATTACTCTTCCATGAGTACAGAAGATCTCGCAATTGTTGCCATTGAGCCCGCCCAAATGTACGATGCATTGTGCATGAAATATACACCTTACGGGCAGCTTGATCCATGCGAGCACGTACAAGTTTGGTCTTTAAAACTGCAAAAATAAAACAATAATGATAAAGGATAATTGAGTGACATGGCAGTGATTGATTTCCAACTGATGATTCCCGGCATAGCAACTGCTATGGCTCTTAGTCCCATTGGTCTGGTGTACCTTCCCTGTTAGATGGTGAAATTCGGCACCAATCTACATTTTGGCTTGCAAGGTATTTCCACCTCCACGTTTCTCCCCCAGTGAGGACTCATTCCAACAAGGACAAATGCTATGATCCTGACATGTGAGGTAGTGCAGTACTTGTAAGTGTAAATAAGTGACAGTTAAGAGACAGGAAAGGACAACGAAGAGGAAGGAACAAAGTCAAGTGGTCTGAGGCCCTTTTGTTGGGGTATCGCTCAAATATTCACCAAGTATTGTCCGGAGAAACCATAGAAAACTACCGATCACAGCAGCCAACCACAAGAGTGCTCCTCCAAACATCAGCTGAATTCGACACTGTCGCTAGTATAGAAAATACACCACTGTTAGGACACAAACCCTAGGTGCTCCTGGCCAGTCACAGTACAGATAAACAGTACAGCTGGCTCTGAGCCAAGCAAGCAGGTTCAATAATAGTGAAGTGTAAATCATCTACTCAAAGTAAGTTATGAAAATATATCTTGGTGTAGGAAATGTTGTTTTTCAATATGCTTTCAAAAAAGAAGAATTCTGCCAATATTCTGAAAGTATCAACATGAAAAATACAATATACAAATAAAACATACCTTATCTCTAGAATATGAATCACCATAAATACAATACATTGGAATCTCTCTAGCATGTTTTTCCCCATAAAACATCCAAATTTTGGAGATCAGGTTCCTATTCCATAACATTATTCATTTACATTTTGAACAATCCTACAATGTTTAAAGTTTGTTGGTAACCTGTTCAATGTTTCCTGCATCTTCATGTTTGAGTTCAGGGTACTGAGAGATCAGAGAGTATTTTTAGTTTGCTTGATTACAATTCCAACACCAGAAAAATGTGCCTCTGCCATCTTCATTCTTTATGTTTTTTTGTTACGCCATGTTACCTACTACACGTTTCATTGAATTTGATAGACTGAAAATGCCATGGATGATACCAATGATACTGTGGATGTGGTTTTTGGTTTTTCCCAATAATTTAATATTTGAAGTGTTTATGGATTATCTTAATGTAATTTCATTTTTATTCAGCTCGTATTTGCAATAAAATTAGTGTATCTAATGTGTACTTGTGTGTTATTTATAAGTAAATAACTTTTAATTCCCTATTACAATTTTTGTAAGACATGTGAAAAATGACAAATTGTGTATTTTTAATACCACATTCCATTTAAAACATTCAAAATTTTTGGTACTTTGAAAATCATGCTAATAAGATTTCACCATGTCTGAAGCCATACATACCATCAATGATGAATGACTCCACTTCTTCAGCAGGAAGCTGTAGCTCAGATTGAATAGTATCAAAGCTCATTTCCGAAGCACCCTCAGCAAGCTGCATGAAAGTCAGAAGCCTCATTTTCTTCATGTTTTGTTCGTGATTGAGACCTGACAATTACAACATTGTACAAGAAAAAACATCCACATAAAGAGCGAATCATTTTTATATTTGTTCAGGAATTCAAAAGTGGCATATCAACTCTAAAATACATTTAACCCTAGAAAGATTTTAAGGCTAGTGAGAAAAATGATATCACGTTCTTACCTAAAGAATTAAGCACAAAATCTTTATGATTTTGATAGAAGGTGAGATAGCTTTGCAATTTTTCTGACACAAAAATTGATAAGAGGTCATGAATCAGCTGCCCCTCAAGGAAACGCACTGGTTTCAATGCCAAAAGAGGATCCAAGAGAAAAGTATTAGGATCTGCCAAAGCAGCAAGAATACAACGCTGGGCATCATCTCTAGCTTGAGAAGCATTTTCTGCAGTGTACGTGCCCAAAAGCTCAACCATTACTTTGGCAGCCTGTTCTCTGGAAAGTGAAGTTAAAAAATGTATAACAATCAAACAATTCCATGAATAATAAAACAAACGCAAAATAACTCGCATTGTAAAAAAATACTGTACATTTGGAAACAACCAGATGAAATTCCAATCTTTTGTTTAAAAATAGCCTTAACAAAACAACAAAAATTAACTTGTCAAAAGTGAAAAAATGTTAATTTTCATGGATCAAACTGGTTTTGATAGTAAAACGAATGGAATTTGAACGTCCAGTTGTCAACCATTTATTTCAAAAAAAGCTTACACAAATGTTTAAATAAGCATTAAAAATCCATCAAACTATACACATTGAAATTTTGAAAAAACAAAAATGCTTACCCTTGCTTGCACTCTAACAAGACTTCATGAAGAAGTCGCAACAACTTTTGCATTTGCTCATTCGATGGGGGGCAGGCCTGAAATTGTGCTCGCAAATGTTCCATGTCTTTATAAACAAATCGCACAAAATCCACTTGTTTGGCAAGTTGAAGAAGATGGTAGTACACATGATATCTCATAGGTGAATGTTCATCCACAGACTGGAATAACAGCCAACCTCTGTAAATAAATAATAATCATTTAAATTTTAAACAAATCATTCAAATTTTCCACAAACATTACTCAAAAAAATTATTTCACTTTAATTATTTCAACACTAATAACGATTCAAATAATGATATCTAATACCAAAATACCATTATTTTGTACACTGCATATCACTTTCAAAGGTTAAACATGGTTTACAAGATATTTTGACTCTCAAATGCTCACCATGAGAGATATGTACATCATGCATCAAATCTGAAATTTGACTAATAATAGGAGTAGCCAATTAATTGGCATATTAGCTAGAAGGAGAGTATAGAGCTGTATGAGCAACAATGAACAGACCATTTAGAACTTACACCGAAGTGTAGTATATGTTACAACCTAAGGAAGTCATTTAAAGCGGTGCTTCGCGTTGCTCTGGTGAAGGGGAAATCCATGGTGGAGGGGACGAGGGGTGTTTAGGGGATTATGAGGGAAATCTTTCGGTAGGGAGGAGTAGTGAACAATATGCGTAACTTAGTACACATTTATAAAAAGCAAAGCATAGGCGGTTTCACTGGCGAGGCTGCTGCGCGCACTCACAGCAGCCTTGCCGGCGAAACTGCCAATGCCAAAAGCATGGGAGATTTAAATACATTGTACAAAAATACACTTCTGAAATAATTTTAATGGTTCATAATTAGTCACGAACGTGACGTCAAAAGTTAGAGATGGGGGAAATTTCACCCTAATATCTTGTCGAAACTTCATCTTACGAAATAGTGTGTGGTGGCACGTAAATCTTGGTTTAGACTACATGATTTTCTGTCGGGGTAGCTGTCAAAGTGTTTGACTACACTGCTGTTGTACAGTTATGTTACTTGCGTTCATTAGATTCTTTGTGATTTGTGTTTACGAGTGTGTGCTACGATGGTGAAAATAAATGTGGGTTTATTTTGCGCATAGTGCCAAAAGAGATGTTTGGCTGTCATTGAATGGGCGCAAGAACGTAGTATGATTGCTGCAGGATTTAAGTGTGCTGTGTGTAAGTGACTTATAAGGTTGGCCAAGCGAAAGAAGTTGTATGATGGTTTTGAGTGGAAGTGTAGCAAGAAAGGGCCACTCCTCATGCGTGTAAGTGTTCCCTGCAGAAAGGGCCATGGTTTGCGGGAAGCAGGTTAATTATAATTCAGGTATTAGTAATGACCTATTCTGGGTTATAAAACCATCAGTCAAACCGCCATAAAATTCGCCTATCGGTAAGTTTCATACATTTCTGTCAGAGCACTTAGCGCCCCCCCCCCTCCTCAACTTTAACCGGAACTTATTCTGGCTAGAGCGAATAGAAGTATCTGGTGACCTTAAAATACACAGGAAATACCACAGTGCTCGTAAAAAAGTTGCTTACTGTAAATCCTGAATGGTGGACCCTAATCTCCAATTCAAAAACACACAGCAAAGTGTCAACAGACGTATACACTGAAGATGGAAATGTCATGTAAATACAAATGTACGACCAAAACAACATGCCCTGCCTCACATGAACTCCTCCACTTTCCCTTCATTGGTCTCCCACAAAAAAATCTCTATCAAAGCATTACAACATATCTTAGGAATCACCACAGAAGACAGTTTTTAGACAAGATACAACAACAGAGGACTAAATTGATGTACATTGGGTTGTTGATGCACTTACACTCTTAGGGCTACCATTCCAAGTTCATATCTGGGTGCTTTTGTTAGCTTTTCACAAAAAGCAAGGATGGGATTCTCAGCTCTTTCTACTGGTATCTGGTAAATAAAAAAGTCATTATCACAAACGTACAAATCTTAAAAACAAGGTCATGAAATTGGAACGAAACAAATCTATCATTACACTTACCAAAACAAGAATGGATACAATACTGTTGAGAACACGTTCAATAACAATTTCATCGCCCTCCTTGAAGCAAGCATCACATACGCCAATAATTTTATGCAAGTCGTCTTCGATACCTTTTGGCGACTTTTCTTGTGAAATTTCTGCACCCAAAGATTTTAAATAGGACCTCAGTTCTTGTGCCTAAGCAAACATTTAATTAGTTCCTCTTCAACGTAACCCGATAACATTTCGCATCAAGTATAACCGTGAAATTTGGTTAAGGGTTATTGTTCATACGACATATGGTTTCCCTAATCAAAACCATAGCCAAGTAATAACTTTCAATCAGCCTTACCTGCGCATCAGGAGAAATATCCATAAAAACTGGAACGTCAATCATGATGATTAAATTTGTAACCACATAAACGAGAGTAAAAGTATCAACGTGCTCCTGGTGCTCCAGGTGATCTTCCCGTTTCCCGTCCCCCGATTTCCGTAAGCCCTGGTAAGCCCGTGACAAGAAAACTGCTACCAACTGCCCCCTTCAATGCTACCAATCCACAAAAATGCAACTTTTACAAATAACCAACTTATAAAATGTCACCCCACAGTTTTAAACATGCATTCAACATGAAACTGCTAGGTCGGAACTAGGGTCTTTCTCCCAGCAGTATTGTACAATGAAACAACGAAAAACACTGTGCATGTGTTGCCAAAATACACGTGTTTAGTTGAAGGGGTTACTAGCATACATGAACATTTATCCATGGTTTTAGTTTCAAACGGAGTACACCATGGATGCACAATATAAGTAAGATGAAATTAAGAAAGTAGAAAATGCTTCAATTATTTATGTGCAGATAAAGTTGTTTGTAAATATTGTTATCGGTGTTAATTGTACCGAAATCTTTAATTTTGTTTTAATTTTTTTTCTTACAGAGTCATCGATCCGGTGAAGTTTTATAGAGATCATTTAGTAAGTGCATTCGTTATTGAAACCAACATTTTATTCAACTTTACTTTGTTACATAATTTCCAAAACTCTTAAGTTTATAAAATTCTTGGTATTTATATTAGCGCATAAAGCTTTTGCATGTGTTTGTTTTAAAGTTTTGTTGTATTTTAGGCACACAAAATTCGACCTGATGGCCGAGGTTTGCTGAAATTCAGGCCAGCAGTTATTAATGTGGATTCCATAGGGACAGCTGATGGATCAGCAATTGTTAAAATTGGCAACACTACTGTAGTGTGTGGTGTTAAATTGGTAAGACCGTTGGTTAACACCTTGAATTGTATTTATTTTTTAATGCAATTAAATTGCTTATAGATATTTGAAGCAAATTTTTATTTCTATTCATTTGTGTCCTGTAAATTTACTAGATATGTGCACCATCTTATTGTAATATCTTACTTGAATTAATGAATATAATCATGCTATTTGTCTACTTTTCTTTAAGGAACTTGGAGTTCCCAAGCCAGAGGAAAGTAATATTGGTTGGTTAGTTCCTAACGTTACATTACCTCCACTTTGCTCTCCTCGCTTCCACCCAGGACCCCCTAGCGATGAGGCACAAGTTGCTTCGAACATGTTAGCTGAAATTTTAAGTAATGCAAATGTACTTGATTTGCGAGCACTGTGTGTTGTGCCAGAACGACTAGCATGGGCTGTTTACCTTGATGCAGTATGTTTGAATCATGATGGTAGTATTCTTGATGCATGTGTTGTTGCTGCTGTGGCAGCTCTTCGAACAGGTGTGTTGAAAAGAACGTTGAATATAGTACTGACAAATCATTCAAAAATACTCCTATCAATGTTTTGTTATTGATGATGCAGTGAGACTACCTCGGGTTGAACATGATGCAGATAAGGACATTACGAAGGTATTTCCCGATGAACGAAGTAGTCTTCCCATAACAGGAGCACCTATTCCTACAACGCACGCCATATTTGAAGAGTAAGTTCACACATTCTTTGATAAGGAACATTCATTATTTGAAAGAAAAAGTTTTCTTATCCTTCATCACAAGTAATTATTGATAACATTTTTAGTCCAAGACCCTTAGCAAAGCTTGGGGTTAACCATGGTAAGGAAGTTTGGATTCAGGTCTCTATAAAAATTCGATGTGGCATGTAACTTGGGCTGGCTGGCTATTATAAATTGCAAAATAGGAACTTTTTTGTTTCAAGAACTTTCATCAAAGAGAGAAAATGTAGTATTTGTAATGTGAGGTTTGGATATATCTTCATTTTCTAGAAAATGACATTTGTTTTTTTTTTTTGTGAAAGTGCAATTTTGAGCTTCTTTTCACAGAACACATTTTAGTTTGCAAGAAACTTCATAAGAAATCAGATGAAGCACTTTTACTCTCAAATGCAATAATCTATTAATATAACATGTAATGTAAATATAAATAATTTGAGAGTTATTAAAAAAAAATCTTCATGAATTTTTGAAAAAGCAAAAGAATTCTTTAAAATGGCATTACAATCAGATTATTTAGTGCATTTAACACTATCCATGCTAAAAGAAAATGAAGAAAAATGTTAAGCTGTTTTTGAGAAAATCTTGTTTTTAATATTGCCCTCATTTCACTTAAAGTTGCACGAAAGCATCTAATATTTTCAACAACATGTAAAGTACCCTACAAAATTTAAAGAATGTTTTTCAAAATCACAGGCTTTGGAGGAGTCTGAGCAAGGATTCTTCATTTTGGCAAAATTCCTTTAAATAGTTTATGTTCTAATGTTATTGACAGATGAACATTTGGAAGAAACAATTTTTTGATATCAGGGACAGGAATGTGTGTTTTTGTTATTATCTAGTAATCAGTGTTCTGCAAGATTATACGTCTTTTTCTAAACTATGTATATTAGTTTGTGTATATGTTTGTATGCTAGAAAGTGAACATGAATGAAATTAAATGGAATGATGTAGCTTTTGACTAGCAAGTATGTACTCACATTTATAATGTGCAAAATATACGTCAATAATTAGTTTGTACAATATTTATTGCAGAAACTTAAAGAAATCTCAGACAAATGTTTACATTATATATATATATATATATATATATATATATGTATGTATGTATGTATGTATGTATGTATGTATGTATGTATGTACTTAATTCTATTGAAAGTTAATGAGGCAGTTTGGAGTGTAAACATACTAACGTAGCATTTTCAGAATTTTTCAGTTTCAGGCATTTCCATTTTAATCCAATAATCAAGTATGATATTTAAATTTATAATTGCTTTTATTCACTACTCACAAGGGGAGGCTGCAGGTTGAGAAGTGAGTTTGAGATAAGATTTCAAGTAATGCGTGCATATATAGCATAAGAATTGATCTGTCAAATTAATAGAACACTATTTTCTTGAAAATATGCTTCAAACTCTTCAAGTACTGTAAACAGGCCATTGAGACAAAGGTACTAGTCGACTCTTTATCACTCTGGCGATGCAGAGGTTTGCCTACTTGGGTCAAAGGATTTTGTTTTTGTGACTGATGATGATGATTATAATAGTAACAATAATTATACCAATACCATTTTATTTTAATGATTAACAAAAATGTATGGAGGGGTAAATAGTAATGCAATAAAAACGTAAATTTATGAACACAAAACTAACTTGTGAGCTAAGTGCTTCTATGATTGCATCACCATCTAAGATTTGACTAGTATCTTTGCCTTTATGAGTTGTGCATGAAAAAAAATCAGTTTATTTTCATGAAAATGTTCAGATATTTTGGCATGTTCTGATCTACCTGTAATCAAGATATTTTTCTTAATCTATAGATACTTGTTTGATAAGACTTAATGGGAGAAAATGATGCGATTGTGATAGCAGAAGGAATGCATAATACAGGCATTGCTCACATACACTGTCTCCCTGTTTTGAAAGAAAAGTGATTATGTGTGTCTTTTTGTTTGTTTTTTTCACAGTGAAGTTATCTTGGTTGATCCTACAAGCGATGAAGAAAGTCTTGCCTCAGGTCTTGTGACTATAACAGTACAAAATGACCAAATGTGCTCAGTCTACAAACCAGGAGGCAGCCCCCTTGCAGATGAAAACATGCAGGCATGTTTATCTCGAGCTCGAACACGTGCTATTCAGATGAACAACCTTATAGAAGCTGCTTTAGCAGCTCGTGATAAAGAAGAGACAAAAGACCAGAAATTAATATCATAATTAAATTATTTTTTAACTCACTGAGAAATGTACAAAGTAATTGAATATTTTAATGACTACTGCTTTTTAAAATTGTTCTCTCACAGTTAAAGAACTATGTCAACAAATGTTTATAATTGACTTTAAAAATTGTCAAGATATTTTCTCTTCCTAATTTTCATTAATTTTAGCACTATTTCATAGTACAATTATGAATCGCTTGTTGGAATTTAGTTCAGAATCACATTTGGATCAAATTTGGTTGGTCCTACCTCCAACACCAAATGAATTATTTTGTTTGTAATCACTAAAGATATGTTCAGAAATAATTTTGTAAATTTAGTTAATGATAAGGAATTTTAAATTTGCTTTACCACGATTTAGATTTCTACATACACCAATAATTAATATTAAATTTTCAAGAGGATTTGTCTTAGTCTTTCAAAATATAAATACTTTCAAATAAAGTTGTGCAACGATTGTTTTATAATAAAAGAAGTTTTTTTTATCCAACTTGAATTGTACAACAAGGTTATCTTCTAAAAAGATTCTGATTCCTGATGTCTAATTCTCAATGCTGATTTTGCTGTGTGCCATTCTAACAAATGTAATTGGAGAGGTGGCAGAATTCATAAGCATTTCACACACCAAACTCCTGGTAAATTCCTTTAATTTTATTTTTCATATTCTTAATCAGTTTAGTATTTTTTAAGAATTAAAATTTCAAAATTGAAGACTTGAATCTTTGAAAAAAGATTTGCAATTTACACTTCACATACCTGTCCTCTGAAATTTCATTGTTGCGTCATATTGCAAATATGCCGTTTATTAAAATGATTATTGTAATGAACAGATGGACTTTTTGTGCACTAAAAATGGTAAAATAGGTTGTCATAATTGCCACCCTCCCAATAATATGACATTGCACATAAATTTAATTTACAATCGTCAATCTTCCTACATTTCATTCATCTTTTAAAATAATTTTTCAATTGCAGATAATAAAATAAACTGGTGTTGTACAAATGGCACAGTCTTTCTCATAATAACATTATTATTTCTTTGGTCTTGGTAAGCTTACAGCATTGCCCCACCCTCTTCCTGCTATCGGTGCCAAAAAAATTATTTTTTTTTTTCGCATTTTCAGTCCCTTAATAGTAGAATTGAAATATGACTTTAAGAATATTAGAGAAGAGTAAAACATAGTCCTATATGTGAATTTTCATTGAAAAATTTGGAGTTATTGTTGAGAAAATGTCATTTGAGTGTTTCTGAAAATCATTTGAAACACATGTGTTCGTAAGTGCAGTAATGTATAGAAAACATCCATAACATAAATATTAATGATGTGAGAGATGTAGAGATTTATTATTTCTGCAGGTAGGTTCATACAACCTGGTGGCAGAACGCTAAAATTTACATATTATGATTAGGAATATGTAATTGATGATACAATGTAATTTTAAATTATTTTAAGACAATAATAATAGTGATAATATATCAATAAAAACACTTATATAATTGTCACCATTACAATAAAGGCACTAATAAAATTAATAGCATTAACTCAACATTTTATGGCTGTCCTGCACAGATACTTTAAGTAATAAATACATTGCACTCCATTTCACTTCACTTCACTTGCACTTCACTTCTCTATTGCACTACACTTCACAACACGTCATGTACTCCATATTTAATAAAGCAGTATATTTAGTAGTAATTATCACAATACTAATTATAAAATAATAACTATTTTAATAAGCCTAACTTACTAATTAATAAAGTTTAAAAATATCATTATTTAATATACTTTTAAATCTTTGTACACCTACAGGAAAGGGTTCCATGGCTGTCACAGGTAACTTATTCCAGTCCTTTATTGTTCTATTTGTAAAGGAAAATTTTCCAACATCTGTTCTCTCTGGCTTGAACTGAATTTTGTGCTTGTGATTCCCTCTACTCAAGTTAGTGGATCTATCGAGTCGGATGTAGATATCTTTCCAAGCTGCATAACTGGCATATGCTTTGTACAGGGCCCAGAGTCTTGCCTTAACCCTCCTTATTTCTAGAGACTCTCATTCTACTTTCCTCCGGTTTCGAACAGTAAATTTCCATGAACTTCTATGTACTCTATTCAAATATTCCTTTTGTGAATATCTATAAGGTTCCCAACAAATTGTCCCGTATTCCTTTAATGGGCAAACAAGAGATAAGTAAGTTAATTTTCTTGCTTTCACAGTACTCCTTTTTAGTATTTGCATGGTAAAATGCGAAGACCCCCAGGCTTTCCCTCTGACAAAGTTTACTTGATTTTCTCAACTCTATTTGCTATCGAAAGTTATTCCCAGGTACTTACAAGATGACTCTTGGAATATTTTCATTGCCTAAACTGTATTTGCGACCCCTACCAAACATGATGGTTTTGCTTTTTGAACTATTTATTGTTATGCTATGTTTGTGTGTATATTTTTAGAACTTTACCTTTGTGAAGTTTTTGAAAACTCAAAATACCATGTGTGGTAAAATTCAGTGTATTTAGGACTGTCATAGCACGTTTAACATGGCAAAAAGGTAACATTGATGATAAATATTAAAAAATTAGCTATTTAAAAAAGGTCATGTTTAATATTTGGAAAAAAATTAGTAGATTTCACGTAATTTCTTGTTAATAGTTAACGCAATGTATAAACTAAAACAGTGTCCCAAATGAGCTCCAATTTTTTTCTTGATTTTTTCCTCATATGTAGCAAAGAACAGAAAAGAAAATGGTGCTAATTTCATTTTCGGACAACTCTGCATTTTTGAAAATTGCCAGAGAACAATGTTTACAGTTTTTACGCTTTCAATTGACCCAACGCATCTCCAAGCCCCGGGGGCGTTGAGGGCTTTGCGCTTCCGAAGTAATCTTCCATTCAGGGTTGCCAGATGTGTTTAGAGAAATTCTGCCACGTTCGTTTCAGTTTCCGCCAAAAATCCGCTGAACTTGTTTTAAATTTCCCGCCTAAATTCGCTAAACGTGAAATAAATAATTTTTTTCATATTTAAATGTATTACTTTTTTCTATTAAAACAAAAATATGATTGGGAAATATAGTGGCTTTATTGAAACTGCAATTCATTTTTTAGATAATATAGAATGCATTACTTGGGTGAAAATTTGCAAAATAATAACAATTTATTTAGGGTATTATTTAATTTATTATATAAGTATTATATTATTTATTCTTGCTAGTGACATGGATTTAGAAATTTTAAAAATATACATTTGCGCAAAATAACTTATTAATAAAGGTTAAGGAAAACTGATGCTTTACGAATTTTACTGCTTTACGGAATTAATTTCCGCCGTTTATTCCGCTGTCCGCGAAACTATTTTTTTTCTTCCGACGTACGAGTTCAAAATCCGCTGAAAACGGCGGGAATTCCACCGATATGGCAATATCAACAGAGCGTGAAGTATGAATGGAGTAATCCTCCATTAATATTTCAATGTCATATCCGTCACGTCTCGTCGCAGTCAGTTGTCGAGAGGACCGCCAAGAAGCATCTCCGGGCACGCACCCCTGCGTTACTACTCAGCGGCCAGAATTGGGAAGGAATTAGGATTGGGGTAGGATTTAGGTAACTTCACAAGGGCTGGCTAGCCCCTGTGAAGCATGCAAACTCGTTTCTGTCGTAACATTCCCCATGAGGTTCTGCGGGAATCGAAGCCAGAGAAGAGAGGAAGTTGCTGCGCGAAAAAAACGGGGAATTTTCAGTAGAAAAAATTATTACAGGGCCCTGATAGCGAAAAGGGGGTTTAATCCAGTTGCTAAATGTTCAAAAAACTAGTGGTGCTCCAAGAACATGTACGTTCTCGGGATATTGTGATGGTTATGTAATATTGTAATACGAAAATTTTCTGTCTGACACTTTAACTACCATTTGAAAAATTCCTTAAGAAACGAAGCATGAAAATAACATCAAATTCCTCAGCAGTATGCAAGAAAGTAAAATAATGAAAAGTTAATATATAATATAATACAATACTGATAGCTATGGTAAACAAATTCCAATAGATCGAAAAATTTGTAATAGTAATTATTAAACACTAATATTCTACAAATATAAAAAAGTACTAGTTTATATTACCGCAAACGAAAAGCAGCCGTCATTATCGCCTTTGTTATCAGTGTGTCATTACAACAAGCAACAATGATATAATGACCGCTCATCTATTCGTTTTCAAATTTAACACAATTAAAGGACGCAATTTAAAATATTATATTATTAATAATAATATGAAATAATATACAAATCCTAACTTACGCAGCATCCAACTGCGTAAACTGGGAGCGGGCGACTGAAGGCTATTTCAAATAATTTCTAAAAGATTATTTTGTAAATGTTTAATAAAAGTTTCCATGTAAGAAATGAACAAAGAAATATGAAGTAATATACACATTCTAACTTACGTAGCATCCAACTGCCTCAAAACACCTGAAAATACAATAACAAAGCACAAAGTTTTCGGAGCAGGTGACTAAGTTTGGCATCCAATTACTCGGAAAATTCAACATGACCTAATTTGAAGATCTGATTTTGATGAAATCAATTCATTAAGAACAATATTGTATCTTCATAATTGTAGTTGTAGGAACACGCCATTTTCTTTCTTTCTTTTTTTTTTCAGTTTTCGAAATATCAGGGTTTTCAACCAACATGAGATCAGCACTATTTTCTCAAACGTTGTTCAGACTATCCAACAACAAAATTTCATCAGAAACGATGGGGCTGTTTTTGAGAAAAAAATGTTTAAACAAAATTGCCTATATTTCACACAAAATTACGCGAAATTTTCGAAAAATTGCACATGATCATACTTGAAAATCTATCCTTAAGGAACAGGGTTTAATGGGGGGAAATCTCTATCTTTAATATTTTGTTTGTAGGTAGACGTCGAAAAATATTTTGAATTTTTGCAATTTTCGAAAAATCAAAATTTTTAACGACAATAAGATCTGCACAAATCAGACGTCCTTTACACTATACAACAACAAAATTAAATTAAAAACGATGGACTCATTTTCTGAAAATGTTGGAATTATGGACAGCACGCATGATAGATTATCGACGCACAAATCGTCCCCTGATTGTAGGCGGACTACAACACGTGATGCACAATACCCTGTTGGCACACACCAAGCCACACGCGTTCACTTCGACGGTCACAGACACAGCACCGCTCTAGTGAAAGAGAACACAGAGCGTCAGTCGATTGCTCAGCATATAGATAGGTGCCCTACGGATGGGATTGTATCACCCTGTCAATACCTCCAACACTTCCCCTCGGGTCAATCCCCCATGATTCACTCTACATTCACTAGTCCAAGCAGCTCTCTCAGGGCCATGTACTCAGCTTCCGTGATGGAAATCGCAACTGCCCTCTGCTTTCTTGAGTCCCATATTACAGGTCTACCGCCTATGGTGAACACATCCAGTGAATAACCGTCTGCCGTCTATAGACTCATCATAGTCGGCATATACCACAATCACATATACCACGAGAGCCCCCTACCTCATATATGACTCCCAAGTTCACAATGCCTTGTAGGTATCGCATCACCCTCTTCGCTGCTTGCCAGTGGGATTTTCCGAAAGAGTCATTGCACTGGGCAAACACACACACACAGAGTGAGCTAAGTCAGGCATGTTGCCATCGACATATACAGGAGATACCCTACAAGCTCACGATACGGCGGTTTGTCGCCGTCAGAGTCACCTCACCATTGGCCTTGGTGAGGTTTGAGCCAGGCGCAATGGGCGTGGAAACGGGATGGCACTCTCACACAACTTGAATGGACGCAAAATGTCTATCTTTGATTCATTAATGAACTCAAAATGTATCTTCTGATTCATGAGGATAGATTCCTCGTGCTCATTGAATTCTATTGCCTAGCAGCGCTCCAGATTCCCTAGATCCTTCACCTCGAAAAGTCTTCCTAGATCACTTCCGAAAGCATATCTTCTCGGACTTCCGACACATCACCAGTATGTCATCAACATAAATTATAATGAACATTGTGTCGTTGCTGACATCCTTAAGGTTCAAACACATTCGTGTCTCTTGTGGAAGGAACAGCTCCCAGGTTCCTTAGTTCCTTATCGAGTCGGCTGAATTGCCAAGCCAGTCCAGCCTGTTTCAAACCTTCTTCATTTGATAGACCGTTCCCCCAGTCGGCAGCTCTCTCAGTAGGGACTTCACTTCATTAAAAATATGATTATGATTCTCATTGGCGATGATGTATTCAAGAGCATGGCTCATTTCGTTAGGAACCTCCATTAGCACATCCTCATCTAGTCCCGTTTAGGTATGATGTGGCCACCTCAAATCGTCGGATTTGCATGCCATTTCGTGCCGCTAGGGCGATCGTCAGGCGAATGGAGTTCGTCTCGCTTAGGTCTCATGGTAATCCTTCCCATATCGTTGCGAGTACCCTTTCTCCACGATCTTTCCCTAACACTCCGACCTTTCCATGCTTGTTTCTCAGAACGAATCTGATCCCTATCACGCCTCTATCTTCTGGTCTGGGCACCGTCTTCCAAGTCTTTTATCTAGTATGAGTACTTAACCTCACTCGCTATAGCCTCTAACCATTCCTGAGAGTTATCATAAAGGGCTTGCTTGATCGGAACTTCAGTAAAGATTGCAACCTGAACTCGTTCCTCCACTTCTTTGCTTCCCCGCCTACCTCCAAGGCGGTCCAGACAAGGTCTTCCTGGCTGTCCAGGGTAAATCTTGCGAGGTCTTCCGAGTAGCTGCCTGACCGCAATATCTGTCTCCTTTGGTGCGAATCCACGAAAATATCCGTCTACATGATCAATTACCTTCTTGTCTCTCCAGTTCCAACTTGGACATGCGGGAGAATCCCGGCTGAGGTTCAGTTCAATGAAGGGATTTACATTGGCCTCCATCTTATGATTTCCAACAGCTTTTCCATGGCTTCCAGAACTTTTGAGCATGGTGCTCCTCCGGTCAGAAGTCTTCGGACTTAGAGTTGTATTCCACCCTTGCCCTCACTTGGGATAGAGGTTCTGAAGCCCTTTGCATCTACACTGTAGCCTACAAAGTATAAAGAAGCCCTTCCTGGAACAGGGCTCGAGCTTACCTCTACCCGGTGATGTCCGTAACGAAGACATCGCTCCCAAAGCGTTTAAAGTCGGATATATATATATATATATATATATATATATATAGTCTTCCCTTTTAGTTTTCGCGAGGAGAATCGGTTGCGGATGAAGTTTGCTGTGTTCAGTGTCTCAGTTCAGAGAGGAGGAGGGCAGTCCTGACTGGATAAACAAACATCTCACTGTATCTATCAACGTCCTATTCTTTCTTTCGGCTACACCATTGTATTGTACGGTGCCATTAACCTTCATGACATGTCGTGCCTCTTCTGTAATTCTTCAAACTCTTGGCTCTTGCACTACCGTCCATTATCCGACGGGTGGCACTTTATTTTCTTCCCCTGCTGAGTGTCCATGGCGGCCCTGGAGTTGTCAAATTCTTTGACAGTTTCGAACAAAAGTTCTTCAGGAACATTACCTCACACCAGCGCGAAGGTCGTTAGTGAGCGTGCAGAAATGCTTGTTCGTCCCATGCGATGTTACGCGCATTGGTCCACATACGTCGGAATGAATCAAGTCACCCGCGGCCGATGAATGTTCTGCAGCCTTAGGCAACGGGGTTCAGCACATTTTGCCCTGCACACACTCTGCATTCAAGATCTTGGTTGATGTTGACTACGATACCTTGCAGATGTCCACTTTTTACAGCGTCGCGTAAATCCAGAACGTTCAGATCTCCGAGACGAATGTGCTAGTCTTCATGGGAATTGTTTCTGGCTGCAACGTCTTTGTCTTCGGCAATCTTCGCGCATTCACCATTCACTTGTGCGCGGAAGAAGTAAAAGTTGTTTTCGCGCCTCATGGTGAGCATCTTGCCGTCGCCGTCTAGAACCTCGGCTTTCGTCTTCGGGAAAAGGTCACTGATCCCTTTCTCCATTATCTTGCTCACCGACATCAGTTTCGTACGCATGTCAGGCACATACAATGTGGCTTGAGGGTTGATCGCCTTTACGCCTACATTCACTTCTGTCCTCGTTGGCACAGAACCCTTTCCTCTCATTTCCGTACGCGCGTTGTTGGCCAGGTTTTATTTTCCAGGCCATATTTCATCGATAGCCTTGAAAAGTTAATGTCCTTGTGCAAGGCGCATCCGCTATCGATGTATCATGCATTCCGGACTTCGCTGCCGCCGGTACGAAAACTCACCTCCGGTGTGTTGACACAAATCAAGTTGCGTCCTCGGCACTAATAGCGGACTGCTGAACGTTCAGGTCTTGTATCCTATTTGCCAGCGGGCAATTCCTTGCTCTAAGGCCGATTACCGTGCACTTCATTCTGGAATCCCTTTCCGACTTTTCGCTATTCATTCGACTTCTTGATCTGCCTCCCCCGACGGCCATCGCCCTTTGACTTGCCCTTCTCCTGGCGTCCTTTCGCTAATCAAACTCTTCTCAGATTTTGATTCTCAGGATATCCATTGTCAAGAGAAAAGGAAAGAAAAAAGAAAGCGAAAAAGAGAGAAAGAAAAAAGAGAAAAAGAAAAGCATAAGAGAAAAACGAGAAACGAAAAGGGCTGTCCTACAAGACAATGTCTTCCCAATTCAAAGATTTCAGCAGAAATACATGTTTAAGGATCCCCTGATACCGAAAAAGTAGCTTTTTTCAAAACATCCATCTTTGAACATCATCTAAACTATAATCCGTCATCACCTTTCATCAAACTATAGTCAGACTATAAACATTGTCTAAACTATACTTAGAATTTTTACCAACTAATAAACCTGTTGATCTGACCTCATTTCGAAGTTCTGCAATTTTGAAAAACATTCATTAAGTTTTGGGGTACTTTCGCTCCTGAGACATTTCAAAAGTTTCTCAAAAATGGCTCTGATTTTTTTCTTTAAACTTTTTGAAAGAATGGAGTAAAATACATTAATAGGATGGCATGATGAGAATTTACAAAGTTTGACCTTTTTCTGAGACGGTGAGGTGACCAGTTAATTTAATTTGTGACAACTTAAAAAGAAATGACCCACCTGAAAGAGTGCTCAGATTTGAATATTATTAACAAAAAATGTTTGTCAAAAAGGTTACAAGAGATCAAATTGAAACACTGATCATAAAAAAAAGGAACAAAATAACAATGCACCCCAGGTTGTATCACTACCCAGCACCACAGTAATTTTATTCAGGAGAGTCTGGACAATACAATTAGCACTTCTGAGCTACTAGTATAATTTTCATTCAATACCCCCAGCAAAGGAGGCAAGTAATGCCAGTTATATTATACAACTGTAATGTTGTATAATGTCACAGTTGACCTATCATGTTTTACAATGAACAATACAAAACCAAAACCTGTAAATCTGACAATGTTATCATAAGGGGACAGATCAGATCCCTAAAGAACATTTAGGTTTTAGGAGATCCCTGGGACCAACCGAGACAAAAAAAAATTCTTGACAATTTTGCTAACAAAAATTAATTTTCTGTGTGCGTAAGTATGTTTGTATTACGATATTAAACAAAACAAATGTTAATACATAAAAGGTGAGAAAGTAGTTTTCTTCTGTTACAAACTTGATTCACATGTTTTAAGTTTTATCCTTCAAACGATTAAGCCATCTTTTAGTAGAGGCAAAAGTCTCATTGTCACCAATTCCATTCACTTTAAAAAATGTAAAGGGCTCTATCTCTCATATACATCCCTCCCAAAGACGTCCCTTTTGGTGACTAGTTACTCCTTTTTGTTTTAAGGTTTTTAAAAATTTTCAGTCAACTGTTATTGAAAATAATCCTGTTTTGTCACAAATTCATGGTTGTTATTTTACCTTTTCTATAAGGGCCTCTTTTCTATTTGTTTTTTTTTAAATTGCTTGAAGCGCAGAAGTACAATCAGAAACTGATGGATTAATTATAGGATATGTCAAGGGGGTGTTAGTATAATTAGCAAAATTTCACCTTTGTTAGTTTTTCAATGTCAATTTGAAGCAGAGTGGTGAAGATCCAAGGTCAAGAGTAGCAGGGTTCTGAATTGCACTAGGGGGGAACATGGTCTTATGAAAGCTCCATGTGTATCATTGCAAATAATAGAAGTAAATGTGGCAAAACTTCTAATTAGGATCCTTGAAATAACAAATAACTGCTGTTGGCAAAACATACAAGCTTTATCTGAACACTTTTGACTATGCAAGAAATACTTATTTATCTAGTTATAAATGATCAAAGGTAGAAGATAACCAAAAAATTAAGAACACACTGGTTTATACATTTTATATTCAATGAATATTCTACAAATTTAAATATTCTCTAATGACTCTTCACAATAATTTCTTTAATCAAATTATGTCATCTTGTGAAAAACAGTCCAAAGATATGTTACATCACTTCTTTAGAATTAGGTTTGATGTAACAAAACTTACAAAAAAGGGCTTTTCTTCGAGCAAATTAAAGTCCCACCTCATCAATTTTAAAAATTAGAACTGTCAAAAAAACTTTATTTAAAAAATTTGTACATTATATACACCAGTGACTATACAAGTCATCTGTCGAGTATTTCTGCAACTGGAACTCTTAATCAATGAACTGTTGCATTAATTTTAACAAAAAAAACATACAGATATTCCAAATTGATCTGTCAAACTATGCCCACTACCCTAAAGGGTAAGAGCAAACAGAAGGATCATGGTAACAACCATTTCAATCCTTCTCATTGTCAGAGTCACTTCCTGAACCACTACTGGATTCACTACCAGATTCACTACTCCTGTTATCTCCACTCCCTGAGGCAGGAGAACGAGACCCTGACTTTGAGCGACGACTGGCAGGTGACGAACTACGAGAACCATCTGAACCACTACCTTCTGCACCACTTGCATCTCCTTCCTCATCCGCTTCACCTTCACCATCACCTTCTCCTCCTCCCTCTCCTTCTCCTTCTCCTCCTCCTTCACCTTCTCCTTCCTCTCCTGCTTCTGCTTCACCTTCTCCTTCTTCACCTTCACCGGCCTCTTCACCATCCTGCCCCTGTTCATCACTAACACTTCCACCTGCAGAATAAGAAAAATATTCACATTTGAGCACTGACTATCATTTCTTTTAGGTTAATTCTGCTTGGATAAATTAATGTTCAAATTATAATTATTAAATGGTAAGATGATAAACAGTACAGATACTGCACATAAAAAATTGTAATAAAGGAGCTAGAATTACAGGAGTATCAACTCTAAATCATCTATCAAAAACAAGATCCAAAGTATAAAGAGACAAGCGAAGAAATCATCTGCTATCAAGGTTTTGCTTTCACTGTCATGGGCACTATTGTAGCCCTAGTTACTATTTATTACAAGACTACAATGATTCTCCAGAAATAATTGAAACCCATTGTTTGCACTACCAGTTCAAAATACTCTTCATACACCCCAATTTACGCAGCACAACAGTACAACACATTGGTGGCTTTTAATACAACTTTGTTGCACAGATAAATGGGCTCATGTGATACAGAGTACCTAAAATTCAGTGGTTGAATAAATCACAAGGATAAGGGCTCAGAATTACCCCATCTTTCATGTGGAAGGGTCCACTTTCATGGACATGTGGGGTGAAGTACTTTGAAAAATTACATCTACTTAAACACTGACACTGCTGTAATCTCTCTTCCAGAAAAACAGTGAAACCTGTCTCAAATGGTCACTAATGGTTCCATAGAAAAATGGCCATTAGAACTGGTGGCCACTTTGAGAAGATTTTGAGAATATTAGAAGCTAGCATTTGACTTAATTTAGCACTTCATAATGAAGTATGCTTGGCTTTTTAACACCCTTTTATTTACATTTCAAACAAAATATTAAAAGCTTTTCAGCTCATTTGCAACAAAGTATATGTTAACCGTTACACAAAATCTTTCAATTCTATGGTGTTGCTCTTTTATTTTTCTCACTACTGTTAATCTCCTCCAAACCCTGGACTTCATTCTGACTTGAATATGTAAGTCTCACCCTGAGAAAACTTAGAGCACACATGAAAATGATCTATTGTTAACTGAAATGAAAATTAATTCTCCCCCAAGTAAATCATCTCAAGACATCACTGTTATAAGCCTCAATGTCGTCAATGGGGCTCACAGGAAAGTACTGAATGTGGCTCACAACAGCAAAATCACAAAGAAATGGTGACTATCTAATGCAGGTTAATGAAAAGAAGAAAGAACAACAACAAACAAACATATCGTCAAACCTGGATATCTCAAAGAGTCTCCAGAGTGAAATATTTCTTCGACTTATCAAAAATTGGAGATATCAAAATAATATATTCTTTAAAAACTGAACTGTTTTAAACAGACAGGGTTAAATATTATCATTAAATCATAAAATTGATGTTCTTGAATTATATAATAAACATTTATTTTCAGATACAAAATATTGTGAAACAAATTATAAAGATAATAAATGAATTTAAAAATAACTTTGTTTAAATCAATTCTACACGGTACTGCTGAAGTTTTGAATTCAAAAATTTAGAGACTAAACAAGTTTGTTTGTTTGTTTGTTTGTTTTTTTTTTTCATGTTTTCTATTAGTCGTTATTAGACAAAATTTTCCAGTAAATTCACTATACTAAAAAATGTTCTCACCAACTGAAATAAGACCTTGAACATACTGCTGAAAAGACTCTCTAATCACTTCAGTGACTGTGGGACAGAAGGCGGTTTAGAATTATGTGCCTGTTCTATTTCGTCGTCTTCTGACGAGTATTCTTGTTCTACTACCATCACGGAATTTAAATTTTATTCTTCTGTAGGATGGTCTGATATGTTGATTTTTGATTCAACATTAACGAAAATGTCGTAGTCTATGCATTATAACAAATTGGTAAATTCTTGCCACTTGTCAGGGATAGAAATGCTCACGTTCTGCTCTTCCTCATGTCACAAGTTCTCATGCTGATGTCCTGCTTCCTCGCAACAGAATCCGGCTTTTCGGAAAGAGTTTGCGATTGTTTCTGATTTCATTCTGACCACAACCTTTGGAGCCACCCAATAGCGTCAAGTAAATTTAAATCAGTTACGTGGCTGCACGAGTCAAAACTTCTCAGTATTTCTTTTCCTGTAGAAATGCTTCAGATTTTTAATGACACCCTGATCCATAAGCTGCAGTTTTGACATATTTGGTGGGAAGTGATAAGTCGAACTTCTTTTAAATTCTCAGTGTATTTGGGGATGGATGGGACAATTGTTGACAAAAAGAATTATTTTCCTATTATTCTTTTGGAGTTTGTTCACATCCCTAAGCCAAGATTTAAAAATTGAGCTTGTCATCCTCGACTTACTATATTTGTATTCTATAGCAAGGGATTTCACTCCTGAAAAGCATTTACACTTTCCTGATTAACTGATCACCAAGAGCTTCAACTTTGCAGTTCCTGTCATATTCGTTGAAACCATCACTGACATCCCATCTTTACTTCTCTCAACACTTGACATTTTTCACCTTTAAACCTTCTCCCGCAAGCATTTAAGCATCTCCAGCAAGCATCTCACCTTCTCCAGCAAGCATTTAAAAAATAGTTTGGTTTCATCAGCATTAAACACACCTTCTGGCTTGAAGTTCTCTAACAATCCAGGTAGGATATTGCATTGATAGTTTTCAGTCTTCCATACATATACTTGCACTCTCGATAGTTATAACCTTCTGCACAATTCCATTCCAGTGCTTGAAGTTTTCCAGCCAACCAGTATTAGGCTTTAAAATACTTAATTCCTAATTCTTGAGCATATGTTTCTGCCTTTTCCTTAATTAATGAACTCTGAATTGGAATGTTCTTGTTCCTAGCACACTTCACCCACAGCAACAATGCTTCTTCCAGCTGCAGGTAACTTGAACATTTCATTATTTTTTCTTAGGGGTTCAAAATGTAAATTTTCCACTGTGTGACAAATTTTGTTTTTGTCTTTAAAAATTGTTGAATATATGTTTTCTTTCTTGCAGTTTCCGTCACTTCAAAAGATTATTTTAATTTTTTTAAATTTAAAGTTAATGATTTAAGAACATGACTGTACATCTCCATGAGATATTGAAATAGTTTTTTGACAAAAGATACTGCCTACTACAGAGCTAGCACAAGACTGCAGCAATTCAAATTTCACTGGTCCAGAGTCCTAGCAGACAGCAACAGTGCAGAGAGGAGCTGTCCATGTTCAAGGTCCATAGTGGGAAATAGCTCCAAGAGTCTGGATTTCTAGATGTGAAAACAAACTTCGCTGTTTCTTTGAGTTAAAAGTATGATATTATTTCAGGGGAAGAAGATATTCCTTCAAGTTATCAAGAAATTTGTGGCCTCTAATTTCAAGTTAATGAAACTGTCTTACATGTAAAATACGTATAACACGTCCGGAAATGAAAAATTGCTTCAACTTATCACAAATTCAAGTTATTGACGTTCAAGTTATCGAGATTTATGGTGGTACTATGGTTGCTGATCGCGATGTTTTAAGAAGGAATATTTACTTGTAACTTATAGGAAAATCAATGGGTTCTGGAAAAATAACTACATTAACATAAGTGACCGCTTCATTGAGGCGGATGTTTTGGCAAGTTTCACTGCGTAAACACAAAACTTTTCCAATATCAAATTTGTTCAGTAAACAATTTACCTTTCATGGCCATACAACAAAAAATAGACAATATTTTAAGCTAAAAAAAAAGACAAATCATAAGTTCACTTACCATCCTCTGAATCACTTTTCTCCTTGCCACTGCCTTCCTCTTCACTCTTATCCCCACCTTCATTTTCATCTGCACTGCCCTTTTCACTACCTTCTTCAGCATCTACAAAAATACCATGAATATCAGTGCTGCAACCAGATATTTTTAAGAGGAGAACTATAGATGTAGTGGTCAGCCAAGTTGATATCTTCTTAAGTAATGATGATGTGTCTCATACAGAATCTTTCATTAATGCTGATTTTAACATTTATTTTTATTTGTTGATTCATAGTTATTGCATATTCAATTGAGATATTGAATGATATTCATTACTATTCAAAATTATTTAAAACTATATATTGAATACACATCATATACTTCAGAGAGGAGGAATACGGTGTTGGGCATTCGATTGATGAAATAAAGACCCATATAATAACGTACTCAATACGATTAGTACTCATTTTCCCAAATTTTCAGAGGTGCATTTTACTGAACTTTGTTTTTATTAATAGGTCATAGATATTATTTTGTTATCTCCCTCAAAAACATTTTAAAATTCTAGCAATGAATTCTACAGTGAATCTGTAGCCTCATTTGTACAAGTAAATTAGGCACTCTTAGAACTACACAAGCCATCACAGAAAAAAAATTCTATAGTCCCATTTCAAATATCAAAGTTCCCTAAACACACTTGCAGTTGAAATATTGGAAACTAATCTAGTATGACAGTGAGTTCCCCCTATGACAACTATCAAATGCCACAAACTGAATTTCAATATCCGAAAAAGTACAAAAAATTTTAGGGGTGCTAGTAGTTAGTGAATTATGCCTTAACTATGGCATATCTGGTGGGAATGACCCCTCTAGCAGAAACTGACATCGGATACCTGACATGTTAGTTTCTCTACACACGCACAATATCATTACAAACTCCACGACAGTAACCCAATCCCACAACTCAACCCAACACCACAACAGTCCCTTATAAGTTTAAAAAGTATAATGTCTTAAATTGATTCTATGAGACTCCACATTCACTTACTGCTAAGTGAAAATAACACTAACAAAAAAATGTAATGAAATAATAGCAGAGCAATACAGTTTCACTTGCCTGATTTGTTCTCGTCTTCATCATCACGTTCACCCTCTCCTTCTCCATCTTCCTCACCATCTCTTTCAGCATCCCCATCACCTTCTCCATCCTCATCACCATCCTTTTGACTAGCTTCATCATCTTTCGACTTACTCGCCTGAGGAGCTTCTTCCTCTTCATCCTCCTCCTCATCTTCCTCACCAGGAGGTTCAAGCTGCTTCTCTCGGTACCGTTGCATTCGATGCTCTGGGGCATTGAGAGGCCGGTGTTTCACTACCAACCTGGTATTGTTCGGCTGCTGACCAGCTTTTTGTCTGCGTTTACTCAATCGTACTCTGCAGAATTAAAAATAACTCTGTGATGCATATAATTCAAATATCTGAAATGTACATTCAAATCAAAGCATTTATAAAATTAATGAAGCAAGTGTCTTAAAAGAACTAAGTTTGTATAATCTAAATCAGAAACAGCTTTTAAATTTTATTTTTAAAACGATTTACATGATTCAAGCAATTCTAAAGAAAGACCTATGACATATCATTATCATTTATTTGTTTAGTTTTAACCTCCCTAAATTATACACTAAGGCCTATTCACCCCAACTAAACTCAGCATGTCAACAAACTTTGTATACAAGTCTCCACCCTGAAGTTGGTGATTGGTAGCACCTTCTGTGCTATAATCATACTCAAATCTCAGCATATGTTACAGCAAGAACTGTCTATATTTTCATTTTTAACTTCTTTCATACACCCAAAATATCAGCCATAATAAGCAGTTATTTTACTCAATTATCAGAGAACTAACATTTTTGATGAGCCCTTGCTGTGAAAAATTCCCACAGAACATACAGTGACATTCTTTTAAAATTAGGCAAGCCCAAACCTTCATTAACCATATTCAGAATTTTATTGCCGGTTGGTCGTTCACTCCTATGAAAAATATTGACTGAAGTCTAGTATACGGTACAACCTAAGGAAGCCGGCATTTGACGCCCAGAAATCCAGGGTGAAGGGGGCGAGGGATGTTTAGCAGATTATGGGGAAATCTTTTGGTGGAGAGGGGTGGTGAGCAATATGCGTAAATTAGTACATACCTATAAAAAGCAAAGCTTGGGCGATTTAAATAAATTGTAAAAAATACACTTCTGAAATATTTTTAATGGTTTGTAGTCATTTCTTGCGTTCTTCAGATTCTTTGGCATTTGTGTTTTTGAGTGTTTGTCCTATGATGGTGAGAATAAATGTGGCTTTTTTTTAACGTGTTGCAACAAAGGGGGATTAGTTGACCGAAGCGAAAGGAGTTGTGTGATGGTTTCGAGTGGAAGTGTAGCATGAAAGGGGCCACTTCTCATGTGCGGAAGGGGTCATGGTTCGCGGTTGAGTATGATTCAGGTATTAGTATTTACCTATCTTTGGGTCATGAAACTACCGTGTGAATTTATTATGAATGAACTGAACATAAGCAAGGGAATCATGACGGACTGGATGGGTTTTTGTGGTGAGCTGTGCGTCACTGCGGCTGACAGAGAGAGTGAACCCATTGGAAGCACTGGTGTGGAAGTGGAAATAGATGAGAGCAAGTTTGGTCACCAAAAATACCATCGTGGCAAGAGAGAAACTGGGAAATGGGTGTTTGGAGGAGTCTAACGAAAGACGAAGCATGCCTTTTTCAAAGTCGTTAAACCACGCAGCAGAGAGGAGCTTCTGGGCATTATTAAGTCTTTCTTCAAGCCGGGGTCCATTATGTTCTCGAACTGTTGGAAGTCTTACAACTGCTTAGAAGATCAGGGTTCTCAGGATTTTCTGTAAACCACTCTCTGATTTAGAGACCCTGAAACTGGTGTGCACACAAATCATATTGAAGGAAAGTGGAGCGCAATGAGACATAGTATCCCCCGGCGCAGCGCAGCTACCAGTTTGACAGCTACCTGGTGGAATATGTTTGGAGACACCTTCAAGGGGGCAAATACCCAACTGAATGGTTGTGTCCTTGAGGGCGCCTCCAATCTCTACGAGCCATAAAAATCGATAGCTGGTAAGTTTTATTCATTTCTATCAGAGTGCTTAGCGTAATTTGAGGGATGGCTTAAGGAGACTCCCCTTTTCATCCCCCTGCCCAGCCATACGCTTCTCCATGGGTGTGCTGTGTACCCTACTTTAACCAAAATATTATACACACATACGGATTAAATTCATCGCACTTGCTCTGCATCAGTTTTGCTCTATGCCTCTTCTTACATGGAGTTACCTGTAATTCTCTCTGCACATTACCAATACTGCTGACACTGACATGTGATTTCAGCAGTCATTTCTTCCACCTGCTGCAGAGTCATTGTCAGATTTTTAGCCACTTTTGTTTCAAAACCATGCAAAACCGCTTTCTTCTCAACACTCCTCAGGGAACCTGACGTACCAGGAACTGTTTTGCTTATTGAGTTTGACATGGTAACAAAAATTAATTTTGCTAATTAGCAAAAACCATGTTAAACTAACAAGACAAATGTTGACAAGTGTACTTATACAACCTTGTCATTCAAGAACAGAACTGCACCAGTTCATTAACTCATTGCCAAAACTGTGGCTCATATGAAATTGGAAACATATTGATAGCCACAATCCATGTGCATGAAGGCATGGCACAAACAGCTAAAGAACGAACGTTATCTCAAAGTGGTTCATTGACAGCAGTATTGCTGTTACAGTCACCTTTCCGCCCAATTTCACTTCAAGGCTGAAAAGAACGTTATTTTGATTTTGTTTGTGTAGAGAGTTAAGACATAAATCAATTTTGAAAGGGATCTAGCTCACAGAGTACACAACACCCTGATGGGGAATGCAATGTCCATCATCAAATGAGAACAAGGGACAACCACATGTATTTGTTTACAAGCTGAGTAAAGTAAGAGCATATTAGTTTACAGTACCTGCCACATCAAAAGGCCTTTCATTAGAATTAAACCCAGAGAAATAGGGAAAATTAAAATGTCCTTATAATTTTATTTTATTCAAAGCCAAAAATATATTAAATTATCATTAAAAATTATACTGAACTTTACCTTGTTTCCAGTTCATTATAATAGATGCCATCCTGGCGCATCACCAAAAAGTAATTTTCTTCATAACCCTTCGAAGCTTTGCTTTTCACATTCCAATTGTACTCACGAGCCATTTTATACTCATATTCCTCATCATCTTCATAATCCATACCACGTGAGAAATCAAGACGTCGCTTTTCTAATGTTTCATCCGTAGGCAAGAAGTAAGCAACAAATTGTTCCCCACTTTCATCCATCACACCTCTGTTGAAAATAACATTTTTTTTTTTTAGTTTTATCTTTAAAACAAAAATGAAATTGATTTTTCTAAGGTTTACAAAATGTTAGTGAAAATAGATTTAAGAACATGATTACCACATGTAAATACCAACCCTATCAAAAAGCCAAAATAGAAAGGAACTTTCCATTGGTTTATAAGAGAATGCACATTGATATAAAGATTGAAGAAAAGTAAACAAAAAAAATAGTTTCTAATACAATCAAATAAAATCCAATTTTTAACATAGTTCCACCAGAATTTTAATAATTCACAAACCAGAATTAAAAAACAACAATGAAATCACACATTATAACTAACTCAAACCATTGTGTTCCACAAATACAGCCCAAACTTCTTGCTCGCAATGTTATCAAGCCAAATATTATTTCATGTAGCATTTGCATACACCTATGAAACCTTCCCTATCCCATTTCACAGATTCACACTAAATAATCAAACAGATATTAAAACGAAGACACTTTTATTTTTAATAACTAACCTTATCATAGCTTGTGACATTTCCTCTATCTGAGCAGGTACAGATCGCCCAGTTGGAGCAGGATCAGAATCAAAGATAACTTGGGCACATGGATATTTCCATATCTATTTAAACACAATCAAAGGAATTAAACAGTTATTGTGTTCTATGAACTATCAAGATAATCTATCAGGATAATCACCTTAAAGTCGGGATATACAGGCAAAACTTCCACAGGCACAACATTTGGCTTGCTGTAGTGCTTTTCAATTGTTTTCTTTGAATCTTCAAAAGTTTTCTCAATAGCTTTAATCTGACTGTCACGATCCATGTAGAGTGTTTCATCTTTGAAATTTTTCTTTATGCTGTAACCAACCTTAGCTTCAACTTTGTCCATTGTCTGAGGTTGAAATCTGGTTTGTTCTGTTGAGATATACTCTGTTCTTCGTAACCAGGACACACTTCGTGCATGATGACGAGATCTGCAAAGCAAAATGGAGTCACACCCTTTTCTTGAACATGCAAAAAAATACCACCACCATCCACACCACACCTCTTTGAGTCTTGTGGGGTAAGCACATCTTCTTCCAACAATTTCTCATCAGCTGGATCAAGTTGAGCTCCAGGTTCCCCTGAATATGTATCTTTATTTATCAAGTCAATTGTGACCCCTAAATCATGCTCTGTCAATACTTCATATTTATAATTTCTCTCTAGTGATGTTGGGTTGTACTGAATAAACCTGCAATTAAAGTCCAAGTTAATAATCTGAAAGTTTAATGCATAAACATTAGTGTCACACACTTGTGAACTGACCTTGTAGAATCAAATGGATAAGTTATAAACTTGGGATCGAATGGAATATCGGGCAAAGTATTGCAATACTTAACCCGACAGACCAGCTCAGACCTAAAACAAAAATCGCAACCAAATTATTTCCCCAAAACACAAATGTAGATCACATAACCTAAACCTTCCAGGAGTAATACAAAACTTTACCGTCTTTCTCCAGGCCTTTGGGGTCTCTTATCACGTTCCGCATTGAGATTCGTCTGAATTGTCGGAGGCATGATGAATTAGGAGGAAAATTTTCCTCTTACAAAACGTTTATGATTATTTTTTATGCATAAGTTGCAACTAAACAAACCGGTACGATACGTACGTAGACAAGACACTGGTCACTCAGTGGTGTCAACCCCGAAAATTTATATAGGTATTGCAATGAGTAAAAAAAATCACAATATTTTAGTTCGATAGATCACTTCTTTTTATCAATGTTTCCTTAAAAAACTGAAACAATATTTTTTGTGTGAAATGGAGGTTACATGATTATTGTATTTATAATACTATCTCCCCAAAATAGCAAAAGAAAGACGTGCTAGTACAAACAGTGCTGTGACCGCCACGTTTGAACATCGAGAAAATAAGGTCCGCGATCGCGTTGTACAGCTCAGATTGAAATGAGTTTTTGTAAAATTCAGCGCGGGTAAATCTTCATTTAGGGGTGACGTTACAGCATCTCAATACTATCATCGGAATCTCTGGATCCCCTATCATTTGTAGTGAGTGAAACAACTATCTTTAGTGCAATGGGCTTCCGGCAATTTATTTGCATTGCCATAACCACGGATCAGGGGTGCTGCTCACCTGACTCGTACGAAGTCACTCAAGAAGCACTCTAAGACCTCTCATCGGCAATAACAGATTAAATTTACTAATATTTCTCTTTTAACTAATATTGTTGGCTCACAAGTAAAACGCATTAAGTGAAGATTTTCAAGTTTTAAGTTCTTTGATTATTATGTTCTAGATTTTATTATAATTGAGAGGAAGGCATATTGTTCTTGCTATACCTATATTTTATTGTTTTTGTGAAATGTTTGTTGCTTGTAATAATTTATATGATTTCTATTTTGTTTCTTTTTTTGTATCTACTTCTGGGTGCTGACATGTTTTTACACGCCTACCTGCATAGACCAACTGTCATGTTTTTCACATAACTGCCTGCGTAGGCCAACTCTCCTGTTAAAGAGTTATTATAAGTGAGAAAATATACATACTAGTGTGTTCCTCCCAGTTTCTTCGTGTAATTCCTTTAACTTCCGAAATAAAGATTCCTCTAGTTTTTTTTATTATTTTTACTTTCTTGCCATTACAAAGGTACTTTGTAAGAAGAGAAAGTTATGTAATCGTGAGCCAGAAAATGGTGAATTTTTGGTAGAAAAAGTCTTATTACCAAGCTCTGGTAATGAAAAAGAGGATAAATCCTGTTGCTAAATACAGAAAAAAATTCCTTTGACCCGTGAAGCCAGAATCCATGTTTTGTGGGTACCTGATACCAAAAAATCAATTGACAACAAAACGTCTGTCCATCTGTGATCAACCCTAGTGCCTCAACCGTTCAGTCGATTTTCTTTAAAACTGATATTCCCAATCAATTTGAATGAACTCCTGGCTTTGAGTTTCAAAGGGATATTTTGAGTGTACTTTACATGAAGCAGCAAAAATGGCACCAAGTTTTTTGATGAAACATTGTCCTCCGATAGCATAAAGGATGCTTAAAAGAAAGGTGCAGGTCTCATTCATTGAGATCCAAAATTTTTTGAAAAATTTCAAAAGTGCAATTTGGATGTTTGTGATGAAAGTGTAATTTGTCATGATATATATGCAATTTAAACAAAATTTTTACCTTTTTTCTCTCCAACACCCTCTCAAGTTTTTTTTTTTTTTTTTTTTTTTTTTTTTTTTTTTTTTTTTTTTTAATCCTTCAAATAATTTAACGCTCTGAACGTTTTCCACAACTAAAAGGGATGCATAATTGAACTTTCTGAACTATTGTAAATTTTGAAATAATGTGAAAAAGTATGTGCTGTTGGAGTGCCATTAGAGTGTGTCATCACAATCTGAAAATTTCTGTACATTTGTGCCCATTTCCAAAACTTCAAGTGCTCTTGTTGACTCTGGAGGTCATTAGCAAACAGCGTGTACATTACAAATCTGATGGCTGGCTGGCACAATCAGGTGCAATTGCATGGCCACACACAATAAGATGCTGTTGTAATATACAAGCAATTCCGTCAATTCACAAATTTCCATTGTTTGTATCCACCCCTAAAAGTGAACTTTTTCTTTGGCATTACTTAAAAATATCATCAGTGCTTTGGCTCTTTTTAAGCACAACCTTCTAGATGCTTTAAAAAAAGAGAAATTGTCAAAAAATTACCTCACAGTACGGAAAGTATGTCTTTGCAAAATGACACATTTGTATATCTAATTGAGAAGCAAAATTGTGTTTTTTCCACCTGAAATGACATCCTGTAAATGGTGATTTTAAGAGAACACTAATTTAATGTCACACAAAATTCAGCCAACAGTACATTATGAATGAACTGAAACATGAAATTTGGAATACACGTTCCTATTATGATGCATGAAATCACTGGGAAAGAATTTTAGAAAATTTAACTGTTTTACTGCAGTATGCATGGCTTGTATGAGCAGGAGGCCAGTCTACGAAACCCACATAGAGATTTATTAAAATTGCAAGAATGATTTCAAGTGCTTATTGTGGATAATCTGTTTTTGTTTTCTGAGATACACTCAAAAACCATTTACTTTCGTTTGGAACAAAGAAGTCAAAATGGTTTTTGAGTGTTTTGTAAAACATGTAGCATTAGAATGATGAGACTGACAATGTACAGATAGATGAGAGTGAGCCTGAATATCATTTGGAAGATGACATTGATAGTGATGACAGTAAAAAACGAATGAGAACCCTGGAGATTCGTGATCTGTGTGAATGGGTCCAATGCAGATTCCAGGTTTACAGACTGCTATTCATTCAATTTAAATCCATGTTATAACTAAAGGAGAGCGAGTCAGCAATCAGTTATTTATTTACTGATACTTAATTGAAGATCACATGGCCAAGCTGAGAGACCTGCCTTATGCGCAAGTAGCCCAAGCTATGGCATCATTCCACATTCAAGATAGTATGCTATTCAAACTGCATGGCACAAAATCTCTTATTACCTCCAAGTTGTGGGGACGTTTGAGGATATCACCTCTGGGAATACTATTCAAGTGTAAAGGGCTAAATTCTAACATGCAAAAGTACAAATACTCTGACTGGACTGAAGACTCAAGTTTTTTATTAATGTTTGTAACACATGAACATGAATATCCCCTTAGTACTACCCAAGTCTATATTTCCCTATAGTTAAATAATTATGAAACTGTTATTCAAACTTTGAAAATGAATAGGAAATTGACAAAATTATAGTGCAAAAAGGAAAGGTTTAGCTCTTTCTAAAATATCAATTGAAGGATCCAAAGACCTTCCTAATCCCTCAATCACCATTATTGCTAAAATTACAGATGAAAAACTACTATCCACTTTCACTTTGTGAGTAATCATTGTTGAAAAAAGAGAGTTCATCAGCACTGAAACATCCACCTAAAAAAGAGAACAAAATGTGGTTACTAATAATATTTTTACAAACAATATTTTTTTTTTAATTAATACAACATTGATCATAAAGATAACATTCCATACAAGTTATTTAATTTAAGTAATTCAATAAATGTTTTTTTATGAAACCTTACCTGATGCAAAGTCACCTGTTTACTTAAAGCCTTTTCCACGATTTCCTTCATTGCTTCTTTGAAACTTTGGATGTCATGGCATTCATGGTTTGAATGAAGCAGAAACAATTCTGCAACCCTTTCTCCCTGAAATCAAAATAATGGAGAAATATTTGTGACAATTGGCACTCGCTTACAGAGAATAGCAAAGCAATATGGCACAGACTCTCATAGCTTATATAATTATATGTTTTTAGATGTTATAGAAAATTTTAATAATTTTTTATAGAATCAGGTTGGTTGCAGCCATAATTCTCCATAATGGTGTTCCTGTACCTTTGTACTGAAGATACATCAGTATTTTATCTATAAAAGTTTATTTAGGAACATCATTTGATTAACATTTATATCTCAAAGCCTGGCGTTTAAATTTCTCTACGATTATCAACATCTAACTTGACTTAAGTAAGTCACATATTAATTCCATAAAACATGTTAAGATTTGGCTCCTTCAAGAACACCATTCTGCTGTAGATACCAAAAATAAAGTGTGTAACAGACAAGAAAAAACAAGGAACATGCCTTAATTATGGAATATTTTCAAAAAGATTAACATAGCCCTACATAAGATGTATTTTACTAGAAAATATGCTGATGATTCAACAATCTTGTGTAAAGGTAAAAACACTGAATCAAGCCAAAAATTAATGCAATCAAAATTCTTGGAATGCTTCTGGATGAAAAATTAATTTGGGAAACCCATATAAATAAACTAACTCTTGAATGCAAAAAGTGTCTAAAGATTCTAAAATCTTTAGTACACAAGAATTGGGGGGACGATAAATCAATTCTTTTAAGAACATATAGAACAATTATTCAATCAAAAATTGACTATGAAAGTATACTATATTGTCCAGCCTGCAAAAACAGTCTTCATAAAATTGATGTAATTCATAATCAAGCTCTATGAATCACTCCTGGATGTGACTTCTCCTATAGGAAGTATCTTAACCAAAGTTCAAGAACAATCTCTCACTCGCCGAAAAAAAGCCTCAAAGCCTCTACTTCAAGAAACCCAATAATAAGAAACACTCCCCAAATTTTTAAACATAAATAATGATAATCTATGGACTGGACTTATCTATAAAAAAGTAAAGTAATATATGGAAGAACTAAGTTTTATAATGCTACAAATGGCAAGAGAGAAATACTCCTGTATTCCACCATTAAGACTGACTAAAGACTAAACCCTTTGTGAACATAAAAAAACAAGAGTTTATTACATTATGATTGGAAAGAAAAATTTGAAAAAATTAGACTAAAATACATAGATTATTATCATATTTACACTGATGATCCGGTCAGATGGCTGAGATCGTTAGGGCAGCAGTGCCTTAGTGATCTCCAGCCAGAAGACCACAGGTTCCAGTCCTGCCTCGGCCATGGGTGTATTTGTGTATGTCTGTATGTGTGTACCATCCTTTCATCCCTCACCATCATCATCTCATCGTCCATACCCCCAGGGATAACAATCTTGGGGGATAAAAATCGGGATTCAGTTAACATGCTGATCCTCTCCCAGAAAGGTACTTTCACCTTCTCAAGTAGGATATATCATGCCATATTAATAGCCATGAAAGAAATATCTAATAACTCCATTAATATAAAGAAATTATATTCACTGATTCATTATTTATTTTGGAATACATCAACAAAAAGATTAAAACATCTTAATTATTAAACCATATTCATGAAATACATTTTAATGAATCTAAATGGAGGGGGGGAATCATTAATGTTTAGATGATGATGATGATGATGATGATTAGCCTGCAACATCCCATAAAGGGCAAAGGCTTTCTGCTTTAGCAGGGTTACAGTAGGATCATATTTGTGAAATAAGTCATCAGATTCATCAAAACAAATAGTAGCTATAATAAAGACTAATTGCACTGGGGGTTATCAAGTGCATTAAACTAAAAGAATTCCTCTCAAATTCAGAAGCCCTCAAGTCAACAAACAACAGAAACATTTGTTAGAAGCTAATGATGGAGGAAAAGAAAGTAAGGGGGATGGGGGAAGGGGTGAGAGAACCTTCTGGAGATCAAAGACAAAAAATGTACATGTGTAAAAATCATTTCACATATTTTCAATACTTTTACTATGCTAGGAGTACAGAAATGTTAATAGTAAGATTCCAACCTTCATAACGGGGAATACTTGTTTCACAAATATTTCCTATGAGGTTGCCAATGTCAAATATGGAAATCAAACCACTGAAAGTAAACAATAAAAACTTTAAAATGTATATTTTACTAAAAATTGTCTCTTTGAAAGGATGGTTGCTAGAGTCAGGAGCATACAAAGACATATTAGAAATGAGAAGAAAGAAACGCAAGAGGGAATATTGGATAGGGAGTACTGAGAAAGTGTGACAAGAGAAAATGATAGATGACATGGATGCAGAATGGCATCCTATAAGATTATTATTAACATTTGCTAGTAAACTTACATCAGCTCTTGCAACAGCTGCAAAAACATCTTTCAAACACTTCTTGCCCCTTTCATCCAAACTTGCAACTATACCACAATCCAATATCACTAAAGTTGGTTCCATGGTTGTTTTAAACACAGGGTGAAATGGTATTTTCCACAGGTGGTTACTTATAATTTTTTCCTGAACTAACATATTTCCAGGATGCAAATCTCCATGAAAAAAATTGTCTTCAAATACCTATAAAGATAATTGCAATTTAATCTTTAACAATATGAGAGTAAAGCATTACAAAACAGTAAAAATAGAAAATTATAGATAAGTGATCTAAATTTGTTCTAAATTTTCTACTGTGTATTCTCACCAAGGCTAGGATTTGTAGGTAATTACATATTAGTTTCTTTTTACAATCAAACTTTCTGTCATATGATTACACTTTATTAGGCTTTTTTAAGTGATTTGAAACATATTTGATTATCTGTATTTGTCCATAATTTCTGAAATAGTACATAATTTTACACATTTAAGGCAAACTCACTTATAATAGCATATTTTAAGATTTTATTTGCATTATAATCCATATTACTAGAGCTTGGAAGTTAAGGTATTTATTTTACCTGAAGTAGGCAGGCAATGGCATTTATTTTTACAATAGGCATGCAAAAAAGACAATCTCACTAAAGTAAAAGCACATGAAACATTAAAAAATCACCATTTAAAAGTAATTAATGTAAAAAATTAATAATTAAATTGATTCCCATTTTATTTCTTAACTCCAAAATTAACAATAGCACTCACATGGAAGGAAACTACCTTTATAATCTTGATTGCACATGACCATCTGGTATGACGACTACGAATTCATTTTACTCTCGATGCTGTCTACAAAATCCTATTGTGGATTTTATTAGTGAAAATGGAATTGTAGAATTCGTTCTTCAATTCCTTCTTGTGTACTCCCCAGAAGGGAAGACAGAAAAAGAAGGAACTGAGAAGGGTATATCATGTACAGATAACTCTTGTCCTCACAAGGGATCTAAGGCCACACACAAACATGAGATTTCTCATGAATGAACACATCTGTAAGCATCAATGAAAAATATCTAAAATCTTCACTAGAATCATCTTTCTACCTCTTGTTGATTTTTAACACTACCGGACACTGGAGCATCTGTGACTACAGAGAGACAATACACAACCGTGCCTTCATTTGTCCAGGCTAGTAGGTATGTTCCTAGATTGACATAGATTGATGCCAGGAGGGATAAATAATAATGAGAAATGCTCAAATAAGGCAAAATGCCAAAAAAAGGCATCAAGCGCTAAAATAGGTAAGAAAAGGCAAAATAAAAATCTACTAAAATAACTCCAAAAGTACAATTAAGTGATTCCTATTGTTAAAAGACATAATCGTAACAATAATAAAAAGGCATTTCCCCGAAGTTTCAGGCTCTATACTAATAATAATAATAATAATAATTTTATTGCCTATAAACTTACAATACATAAGTTTCAAGCGAAGTTGAATCCATAGTAATTTTTTACAATAGTATTTTGGTAGAATATTTTAGGTTTTTAAAATATAGTATACAATAATAGAAGAAATTATGTAACAACAATAAATATTGGAGTAATATGTAATTTGAAATCATATAAATGTACTATGAAAATATCAGTAAATAAAATCTTGATTACTTACAATATATATTTCAGCTACAATCCATGAAATACATTTTGATTCTATAATTATCAAATTATTCTTGGAAGATTATTTTTAACATTTAGTGCAATTTTAACTAATTTTGAAGTAGTTCTAGATTAAATTCCACAAGATTTTATGTGGTCTACGATGGTCCTTTTTACTTCTGATATTGAGAGGAGTTTTAGCCAGCACAAAGCAATACTAAGAGACAAAAGGCACAATTTCATGTTTAAAAATTTGAAACAGTGCTTTGTCACCTGCTTAACTGTCAGTAATAAATGAAGGACCTTACTTTCAAGAATGCAAAAATTTCGGATCTGTTTCAGTCAGTAAATTTTAGTCTACATTTTAATATTAGAGTTACCATTTGGTTATTCCATTTATGCAATTTAAACACTTTTTCTCTGTTTTACTTGCTAGTAACATAAGTATATACTGAGTAATTTTCATAAAATAATAGAAAGTTAGATAATACTGAGGACAATAGATGGAAATCAATGTTTGAAGTACTATGGTACCGAACAAGAGTTATAGTTTCTTTTTTTAAAACTTCCATCTTTTCGCCTGAGAACAACCCTAGCACCTAAATATTTCACAGAATTGTTTTCAAAAATTAATAACACCCAATCAATCTGATTTTACTTGAGGGTCTGGGCATTTGAAACATACACATGAATTTTGGGGTACTTCTCATAAAACACTGGAAATTTTCAAAATTTTCTCAAAATTATATATTTTTTCTTTAAATTGCTTGAGAAGAATTGAGTAACATATGCTTCTGTAGATGGCGTAGGTCTGATTTTTCTCTGCTAACTCTGACTTTTGAAAACTGAATAAGTTTGAAACTTTTTGGACCCCTCGTACAGCTACAATATAGACGTTAAAGATATTTTTAAGGTACAGGATCAAGATAAATCTGTGTGGTATTTGGGGAGTGTGAAGAAGCCCCTATTTGCAAATGTCCCCAGAGTTCATGGTAGGTGCTGATAGATAGCTAAAAAGAAGGTAGGGCAAAGCCAAGATAGCCCAGACTCAAGAGAACAGGAATCAAACTTATGGGGGAAAGTCTGTCTGTTCTGTAACACCCTTATTTTTTCTTTTTATTCAATTTTTAGTCCAAATTTATAACATATTTACATACATATTATGTCATAAAAATCCTAGCCCCAGTTACCACAAACTCAATATTAAATTCTATTAAAGAACTAGTGTTCCTTTGTACTCTGTTAGATACCAAAATAATAATCATGTATACCTAGTAATGATCATAACACAAGTGCAAGTTTAAAACAATGCTGCAATAAATCTGCTTTGGGAGAACATTTTAACTCATGCTCCATGAACAACATTCAAAGTATTTTAGAAACCGTAATTCAGAGGAAGCACAAAAGAAAATCTAAACACAAAAAATATATAAAAAAAGAAGAAGAAATGAAATGAAAATTAAACAAAAAGGACAATTTTTTCCTTCTTCTGGATTAAGAATCTCTCTTTTATTCTTCCGACAAGCACCAAATACTATATTTGAAACAGTTCACTTATTTAGAATTATTGTAATTTTCTCACCATTTTCAATACAGTATTCACTCCCAAGACAGCCAAATCTTTCTTTGTTTGTTTATTCAAATCCAAAGCAATAAAATCATCAATATGTTTTCCTTCTTCAAATGTTTCTATCAAAATATATGATCTTGTTAATGAATCAAATGGAGTTGGAAACTGGATGGAGCTGGAATTTTTAAAATGGTCAGCAAACTGCTTCAAATTTTCAGCTTCTGTGAAAAAGTTAACCTGGAACATTTTAATTCCTTTAGAAATACAATCATAAAAAGAAATTCTAACGTATATTTAACTTCAAAAACAATTAGGGCTGGACTGGTCATCTGGCAAATGTCAATAATTAGTGCTCCCGAGTTTTTTTAAGATCTTGGGACAATAATCATTGTTTTTAAAAAAGACCACTTTTACTTACTCATATACATATATAAATACACAGTAATAAATGTAGTATAGAGAAAGTTATGTTGGGCTATAGAAAATCAATTTCGAAATTTCAACAGAAATCATGTTTTGGGGTCCTCTTATACTGATAAAGCTATTTTTTTCAAAACATCCATCCGGCCACCTGTGAACACCACTAGTGCCTACACTATTCATAGGACTTTTGTAAACTGAATATTCCCTGGTTGATCTGCCTCCACTCGAAGCACTGCAATTGTAAATAACTTTCTTTAAGTTTGGGGGATATTTTACTTGGCACCCCTGGGACATTCACAAAATTTTCTCCCAAATGCCTTAAATTATTTCTCTAATTTCTTGTAAGAATAAAATAAAATACACTTCCAAAGGTAGTGTAAGTCTCATTTTTTATGTTAACTTCAAATTTTCGAAAATTTCAAAAGTAATTGGAGATAAATGGAGTTTTTTTCAGCTTATTCCTACTCTGACAAAATTGAAGATGGAGATTTTTTCTTCAAAAATATTTTTTTCTCCCACAGTTAGTTCGTTCTTTAAGGTCATGGACATTTTCTTGAAAATTTTATTAGTTTTCTCGCAATATTGTGTAAAGTACCAAAAACAAGAATTTTTCAAAAACGGCTCCAAATTTTTTCTTTAAACTTTTCTTGGGATAGTGCTAAAAGTACATAACGCCATTTTGCTCTACTCATTTTTTTTCAAGAATTCAAAAACATGTTTTCTTTTACTTGTTTTTCATGTCATTAATATTTACATTAGCAGAGATTTGTTCACATTATTGTATTACATGTGCTTTAAATCATGTCTTAAAAAGATTCTCAATGACATCGAGTTATTTTCTGTATTCATTTGAATTTTCACAAATTATAGAAATGTAATTTTTTTACAATATCTTTTATGCTGATAATAAGGACATTTTCAGTGATTTTTTTACATTATAGTATTTGTGAGCGGAATTGCTTCAAATGACTTCCAATGAAATTTTTCAAAAACTTCAATATTTTCTGCAAAAATGAGGTTCAATTTTTGCATTCACACTAATGATTAAACAACATTTTCATAGAATCAGCTCCAATTTTTTTTAAATGAAAATTTCCATTTAGGATGAGGTTGTACTCTTCTTTAATATTCTCAAAGAAATATTCCAGTTCTACTGTTTGAAATCTGAAAAACTGTGAAAGTTTCAAAAATATGAACTCTGGGGTGGCTGCTGGCAAGAGGATAGGGCAAGACTGAAACTCTAGCTTAGACCAAAGAAATTAGAAAAGTAATTGGTTCAAGAAAGTCTGTGCCATTCTTTAACTACTAGTTTTCTGTGTTTTACTGTTTATTTCCATTGCAAATTTTCTGCTTTTGAAACTTGTCAAATCTGTAAGCAATTAATAACTTTTTAGAGACCATTGTATATTATAAATGCCAAGGATAGTATGTATTTCCCAGTTTGGCCCTAAATACATTCATATATTCTTTCAACCTTTACCCACCTATTACCCACCATTAAACTAAGTAGCACCAACTACTAATCACATGTTCAATTCATTAAATCCAAATGATCATGCATAGTAAAATTTTATGACATTTCCAAGTCCAGATTTATGAACTGATATATATGGAGAGCAATTAATAAAATGGAATAAAAAATATATCAATGTAAAAGTTCAATGAATTTTTCTGAAAATTTTGAAGGGACATCTTGGAGTTGACCTTGACACATCTGTAGATTTTATAAAAGCGACAATGAAAAAATTAAATATATTTTTTCCCCCCAAGAACACTTTCAAATTCACTACATTCTCCCTATATGTACAATAATTTTGAATTTTTTCAATTTTTACACGAATCGTGAAATTGACATAACTTTCTCACTATTTAACATCATAAAATTAAAACAACGAATTAAATCTAAGATCCTTGTCAAACACTAAAATTAATAGAATTGCATTCAAATTTAAAAAAAAAAATACCTGACTTTTCATCACTTGGGAAAAATCATCCACACATTCACAAAGACTAAGCCACCTTAAACTTGGAAGTAGCCAGGTAATTGTATTGGCAAGAAATTTCAAAATATTAAGATCCTGCCTGAAAAGAATCACTGACCTCAAAACTGCATAATATTTCATTAAAATGAATTTCCAAACACAAGGAATTTAAAAATTCATACCTGAATCTTTTTTCCATTTGAGGATGTTGTACTTTAACAGCAACAGGAATTACATTTCCCATTCCTTGATGAAATGCTGAACAAAATACAAATCAAATAATATCATTAGTTTTGATTACAATTTTAAAAAATGTGAGTAACTGGAGGAAAGAAGATGGTTAAAATTCAACCTAATGTGTAACTACCTGTTTTCCCTGAATATGTAGTAAAATATCCCAAACCCAGCATTTCCATCACTACGACAGAAGAAAAAATGAATTAACATTTAAAATAATAGAATATGAGTATGTATTATTAAAGTACAATTGGATTGCAAATTTTAAGACACAGCAATCAGGAAGACAATTTTCTGAAATCCACTTACCTTCTACAAAAGAGAAATTCTTCAATTCCATGTGTTTCTCTTTATTTGATGAGCATTTTGGAATATTTTCTTTTTTTATCCAAGCTTTGTACACCTGAATTCAAAAATATTTCAGAATTAGGTAATTGATGCAAAATGAATGAATTTAATTCATTAATAAAAAATGCCTAACACCAAAAAATGGGGATAATCTTGAGCCTCCCAATATCTTGAGAAGTTAAGATCTAGATCTACTTCTAAACCCCAATCACCAGTAAAATTGCCCAAAACGTTGAAAACAATTTTTGAATAGTAACTTTCAAAAAATATAATATGGCATGTATTGCAAATAAAATACGCAACAATGTGTAAAAATTCTTAACTAGGAAATATGGACATTAGTTTGAAAGCCTAATTTGTAAATAGTATATAATGAAAGTGTTATTGTAACCAATGAACAAACAAATATGTAATTATACAAAGGCCTGCCCTATTTATTGTACACAATTGCTCGAATCTGGGGTTCATCAAACACACCTTGATCTAAAGTGACGAAGCAAGACAAACCCAGACTACTTTTGTCAGTATTTAACGCCTTAATAAACTGTTTTATCCAACACAGTTCAATGTGGTGCAGATAAAATATGTTATTTGCGTTTTGAGGTACCCACAAATTACCTAGTTATACTCATGATATTTCACTTTATCAACCAGTTTTATTGCCATTATGCTCCCCACATAAATACTCAGAATGACTGCCATTAATTAATCAGAATCTCCTTAGAACTGTCTGCTTATAATCAATTGCCAATCATTTGGACTGAATCCTGGAAAAGATCTGTGACTTTGTGAAAATTATCAAAGGAACTCTCTTTGGAAAAATATGAAATAAATACCTCCTGGTTTTGAAAGTAAGAAATTTTCCATTGTGGATCAGAACGCATGTAAGTTCACAATTAACCTGCATGTTTGGAAATAATCGAATTATGCATAGTCAGTCAGTTCAAACTGGCCACACTGCTGAGAAATAGACAAATGTCAAAATATTAGCAGAACATGCATCTGTTTCTGAAAATACTTATATTCATATATTATCTGCAGCTTTTGGTTACGTTCTTCATTTTCAGAAGGAATTAACCCTTCAAAAACTGGATTTGGGATGAATTAGTAGTAATAGGTAGTTAATCTGAGGGCACAGTAGGTAAAATTTCTGAAGAGCATACGAAATTAATTTGACTGCAAATTGCAGGCACGCAACAGTTTGAATAGCGCGGAAACTAGAGCAGAACATGCAGAACAGTACCATTTATAAATTTAAAATTAGCAGATCAAAATATTACGAATCAGTACAAGAAAATCAAAAATTAAAACAATAATGATGATTATAAGAAGAAAAAAAAGGCCGGCCCCCGTGGCGCAGACGGTTACGGCAGCTGTCATCTGCGCCGAGGAGGCTGCAGGGGTTTGAGTCCTGCTTGGGTATGGTCGTATTTGAGATTATCCCTGGGGGAATCTAGGCTGATGAAGAGGATTGGAAGGACGAGAAGTGCGGAATCCCTCGAGGAATCAGCTAGGAAAACCAAATATATATTGGTACCTGTGTGCTTCGATACTCACGCGCAGAGGCCCTACAAGCAAACTTCATGGTGGGCGCCTGAAATTGCGGAGCTCCGCAAGATCTGCATTTAGGCGAGAAGATTAGCGACGAGAGCCAGGGCAAATCCCTCTTTTAGCTATCAGTATAATGCGTCTGAAAAACAGCTCAAGAGAGAGATTAAAAGAAGCAAATCTATATGATGGAGGAAACAGATGACGTCGAAAACGACCCTTGAGACGTGGTCTACAACATAGTGACGAAGAAATTTAGGGCGGACTGAAAGACGCCTGGATTCGACGACCCACGATGGGTGAAGAAAGTAAAAGGTGGTCTCTTCCCTACTAGGGATCGCTGGGAAAGACAAAGACTGAGCGGCTTTTCTTTTGACGGAAAATATCTGTTTACACTGGAAGAACTGCGGAGTGCCGTGACGACCATGAAATGTGGGAAAGCGCAGGGCTTCGACGGGATCTCAAATGAGATGCTGAAAATCATGACAGCAGAACCCGAAATGCTTGTTATCTGTGTTCAACTGCTGCAGTAGGAATGGAACATTCCCTGCATGGTGAAGAAACAGAAACTCGTTCTTCTCCAGAATTGCAATAAGTCCGCTAATCAGACATCGTCTTTCAGACCGCTTTGCGTTGTGGATATTATGGGCACTGAGGGTGTATTTCTATCAAGACTCGAGGTATATCTAGGGGCAAATTTATCTCCCAGACACTACAGCTTCCTAAAGGGACATTAGACAACGGATGCCATCCTGAACGTGGTCAGTATCGCAGACAGCCAAGCTCTATGATTGGAAGAAAAAAGGATTCTGTGCGATATATAAGAAACGCCTTCAACTCTTCCAGATAAAGGGACATCATTGAAGCACTGGTAGACAAAAAAGTCCACAAATACCTCTTGAGGATGATCAAATATTACCTTTACGAGAGAAGAATAATGTACTCTGACTCCTCAATTGAAGACGATATGACTTGTGATGTGCCCCAAGGCTCTTGGTTGAGGCTGCTATCACGGAATGTCATGTTCGACAGTATATTACAAATTGACACCCCAGCAGTCATCCAGCTTATAGACTACGCAGATGATACCATCATTATTCGCAATAGCAATAAAATCAACTTGCTGGAGATGAAAGTGAACGAAACCCTTTTTAGGGTCAAAAGGTGGCTTGACACTGAGACTCCTACAGACTGGGAAGAAAACTGAAGCAGTGTTAAGTACGTACCGGAGAGGATTCCGTTCCCCAAATATTCGATTAGGGGACGTGAATTTCACCTGGAGACTTCAAATAACCACCAGTCGAGATTGACCACAAACTTGGTCCTTCGGTTCGTACATTATCAAGACTTGCGGACACGGCAGGGAAGACATGCTCTGACTTCTCCAGATTAATGCCAAATGTGGAGGATCCAAAAGAGGCAAAGCAAAAAACGATCTCTTGTGCAATTCATTCTCAACTGCTGTATGTGTCCACAGTGCTGTAGGCTGACAAACTCGGTACAGCTTGCGTGAGATCGAAGTACACGCACGCACAAAGGAGGTTGGCGCTGAGAATAGTCAGTCTACCGCACGGTCTAGCGAAGTAAGGGTACAGGCTGGTGTACCTCCTGCAGATCTGTTGGCGAAAGAACAGAAAGCGATCTACGACGAAGTGAAGCTAACTGACCTCGTTCGTGAAGGACCTCTGCCCAGGACGAGAGGACGCCAAGAAGAGAGACCGGACGTCTCTCCTGGCAGAATGGCAAGTAAGGTGGGGTAGAGACACCAAAGGAAGGCGGACCTATGTGATGATACCGTATAAAACCACGGTTCAGCAGAAGCCATGAGGAGGTTAATTATATTGTCCAAGTAATCTCCGGATGCGGCTGCTTTGACTCTATCTGTTTAGCTTTAATAGTCGACCCAAATGTAAATTTTGTTGATACGAAGCCGATGATGCCATGCATAAAATATTTGAATGCGTAGCATGGGATACTCTAAGAAAACTTCACCAAGCCTTGGACTTGGATATTTCCCCATCAAACACGGTGGGTCTTATTCTCAAATCAAGCATAATACAAGAGTTCCTCACGTTCATCGTCAAAAGAAGAAAGGCTCCGTATTTAACTTGGGGTTATAGCTAACTACCTGCCCATCTCTCCATGAAGGTCTCGCGACGGCTTCCTTGGAGAGAGGCATGGGCATGAGAGGTTTTTTTAGTAGGGGAGGGTTCCACACACCATGCCCATCTTTATCCCTGAAGGTGCGCAAGGCATTTTCCTCCTTGGGAATTTAATAATAATAATAATAATAATCCGTCCCAGACAGTTGCGGCAGCCATCGTCTGCACCGAGGCTGCACGTTCGAGTCCTGGCATGGTCATATTTGTGATTGCCCCGTCACCCCTCATTATCATCCTATTACCCCATAATTCAAGGAAAGGCTTAACAACCTTGCCTTACCAAGGAATAAAGCCAAAAACGCTGATCCCCATAATGGCACACATTCATATCTCCGGGATAAATATGACTGGGCGTCGGGAAGATAACTTGTAGCATGGTCAAGTGGCAGATAAGAGTGTAATAATAAAAATATAAAATTGCCATCCAGTGTTATCTATTAACATTCCTTAACAATAGTTTTGAATGCTGAGTAACAAAATCAAATTCTTACTTGTACAAAGCTCTTGGATCTATAAAGCATTGAAAATGTACTTTGAACAATGTGCTTTAATCCCTATCTGAATGAATGAATGAAATATGAATGGTCCCACAATATCTTATAGCAACACTTTGATCGAATTGCAAAATGTGATGTGATTTAAAAAGCAAATACCAATGAATTATGCAAGCCCAACTAGCCATACCACCCCCTCAAAAAACTGGTTTCTGATGTTACATAACTGGGCAAAATATGTATATTGAGAGATGGAAATAAAAAATCTGGTACTGCAATAACAAACAATATCTTCCAATCAGATTGGCTGCTCTGCTTAAGGGCAACATGTATGTTTTGTACTGCATGCATTTTTTGACAAAAAAAGTATGTAAGTAAAGAAAACCGAAAATCAGTTGTGAATCCTCACGGAGAAGGGGAGGGGGTGCAATGCCTTTAAATTTTTAGTGATTATACTCAACTTATTAAAAAACAATAGATAAATAGATCTCATCACATCCATAGCAGTATTGCTGTTAAGAATATAATTTTTTTTTCAAGCTAACAATTTAAGAATACTTATTATGCAAAAAGTAAAAAGGACCTTTTATTTTGTGATTAAAAAAGGCTGAGAGGCCAAGTGGCGTTACCATATGAACAAAATAAATTCACTTTCATCATACACTATTATTTACACTACAATACATACATTACTTGTTAGCGTCAGCGTGACTTTCCTTTCCTATTTTTTACTATGCTGCGTTAAGATTAGAAGTAGCTGATACAATCAGGAGAAAGTATTTTGTTTACTTTGATTTTCATTCACAGTTTTATCTGAACATTTGAGCATTGTCTCACTTTTTCCACTAGTGCTAAAAAATTGAATTTTTAACATGCTCTCCATGCACTAATAAATGCTTTTACTAGTGGCTGTCAAAATAAATTTCAAAAATATTTGTTAGGGTCTGAAATTCCTACCCTATCCCCTCCGATATTTTTACAGGATCAACCCCTGGCCAAAATAAATTAATAACTGAAAATATTTCTAATTGTAATAAATATGCAGTACACGTAAATGGAGAGGTCAAACTATGGTTCAGTCAAATAAACCGTACCTGAGCACAGCATCCCGAACCTATAGGTTGTCCCCTGTTGTCAAATCCAACAAATATATCTCTCCATTTAGATCCATAAGCATTTTCCAAACACTTTTCTGTGTAATACCATGAATGGGGAGTAGTTTTTCGTTGCAATTTTGCTAAATAAAAACATAACTCTTCTGAAAATATATCTCGTCTAGTTGATGCCCACTGACCAAACTTAATAATGATAGGTCCAGAGAAATTTATTCCTATTTAGAAAAACAAACAAGCATACAATCTCTGCATTCTCGATAAGTGTTTTTCTTACAAAAGGGTCATTTTACGTACCAATTAACAACATATTGTACCATATGTGTCTAATATTTCTGTTCATCTTTGTCAATGGGTATAAAATTACAAGGGGTGTAAATGTGCATGTCAATTGGATACCCCTCAAAATAGTTTGTATGAAATCCCACATAGCAGCCACAATCCACAGAATCTGGTCGATCATTCTCTTCTTAGATCTCAGTGAAGGTAATGATACCGAAGAACAATTTGTTTTCAAACTTACATTGGCAATCACATCAGACATTGAACACAGAATCACTCGATTTGCAATGGTGTAGGATGATAAAACCCTGAATGCATTATGTACAGCCCTCAAACTTTCCTTTTCCTTTCGATGACCAATATACATTCTGTAGATAAGCACATTCTGTTTAATACTGTCTCTAAAAGTACAAAACCGACAAGCAAAGGAAATAAACATCTTGAATGTAAATTTATATTATAGTAGTAACATGACATCAAACCATGCAAAAGCTCGTTTATTTACTGAATAATACTCGTTCTAAAATGTATTTTCTTCAATAAATACACAAGAACGAAATAGCCGGTCAATACATCAGTTGTTTTTATAAAAACAATATCAACATTCCACAAAGTTCGTTTGAATATTTAACAAGGTTTGTACACCTTCATCAATTTAATATCAACTGTACAATACATTAATATCGTGCATTGTTTGCGACATCGTTCATAAGAAACTCTAAAAACGCTTGGCCTTGCCGTGGCCATACCATACCACATTTCAACGTGTTCGTGTTTAGTAAACACTGTTTACTACTGCGTTGTACAGTCGCATGATAAAATAATGCAGCTTATAAAACTCTATACTGAAGGCCCAATGGTGACGTTCAAGCTCTCGATTGGATGAAACTGTCAAACGCTGATACCTGCCAGGGACAGAATTGTAAAAATTGAAGTGTACATTCCGATTTAATCACGAGCTAATCAGAGAGAAGCACACTGATCCAATCGAAGGCTTCGGTACGACCAAAGATATTTCAGAGACGGCACACAATGTTAAAAGGAAAAGCCGTATTTGCCCAACTTCCAGTGCCGCCACATTGTTCTGTATAATTTCTATTGGGTAAACCGACAGCCAATAGCGAAGAAGGAACCGGTAAATTTAAAATATACCAGCAACGCGGAAACTTTAAAATTTCACTCCCATACTTACGCCTTCATTTAATAAAAAATTCTTAATAATAATTATAAGGATTTTATGGAAGCAAAAAAAAGGGTCAAATTAGGGTAGTAATATCTAGTCTTTATTGAGGATATTGATATTATACAATTTCGTAATTTCATTAATAATAACAATTTTGTATTACAGAAGGTAATAAACAGTACACCTGCACAATTGCAACTTTAGTATTTGCTTGAAGATATGTCAAATTAATGTGAAAACTATGGAATACTACATTATTACAAACATGAATGAACAATATGAACAGAATTGAAAAGAAACAAATGAAAGCACTACCACACATTTGCCCAGGTAAAACAAATAGTAATGATACAAGGGGTGAAAGTGCTATATTATTTTGCGCATAGGAAAAGTAGCGCCACTAGGCCAATAAGTCAGGGCCCCATTCCTACAAGCAAAATAAAATCACTTTCACTATGCTTTTTAAAGTTGTAGTGCCTTTCATTTTATTTTAATTCAAGAATATGAATTACTTAATTATGTACTGTTACATTAAGATCAGTAGTATCTGATTAGATCATATGAACGTATTTTGTTTTCTTTGTTGCTTTCAGAGTTTTATCAGAACATTTGAGCATTGTCCCACTTTCAGCAGTAGTGCAAAAAATTGAGCTTTTAGCATGCTCTGCATGCCTTGAAAGAACCGCTTTTACTACTTGCAACCTAAAAATGTTTTTCGTTAGTCAATAAATATTTGACAAAATTATTTTATTTACCCATGCTTATCTCACACATGCACAGTTCAGAGCCTGACTTTTTGAAAATGGGATCCACTGTGAAAGTATATTCACTTTTAAAACAATGATTTACAAATAGTGGAATTCCATCAATGCTTATGCACCACAATTTAATTCTGAAACTGGATTGTCAAAGTGCAAATATTTGATTGCACCAGGAACGGAGACTGACTTCTGACATCTGGATAGATGTCCTAACAACTGAGCTATGGAATCAAGCTTTGCATTCACGACTTATAACAATTCACAATCTAATAAGGATCAGCATTAAAATTCAGAATGTAATTGGCATGAGGATGAACAAAACACAATGATACATACACAGTAGAATATAAATTGAATCAAAGATTGTGTTTGTCATAAGAAACAATGATTGTCAGAACTGTAAAAAATACTTAAGCAACTTATATCAGTACTAATAATAAAAAATTAATACTAATAACAAAAAAATTTACAAACAAGATAATAAGCACTAAAGAAATTCTAAAATTGCATAAAATCTAACATAAATTTATCTAACAAATACATTAACTAAAAATATATTAATCTAATAAATCATTATTAAGCTTTTGGCACTTGGCTCGAATAAGCATTCTTAAAGTTACATCCAGCATCACTCCTACAAGAGTTTCCCCATGCACAACACAGTCTAACAACCACCGAAAATCAAGGCTAGTTGACAACAAGCAACGAGCATCTTGCTTCAGTGTTTGGGAATGCATTTTTTGCTGTGCAACGAAAGACATTTCAAACTCATTGACAGCAGTAAGGATCATCTTCGTCAAATCTTCAGAAGGGTATATCAAAGATGGGTTTTGAAGATCAAACTCCCGACTTTGAATATACTTATGAAAATCTCCCAAACTCTCTGTGCAAACAGAGTTCTTACACTTAAGGCAACTCTCATCCTTTAAAGCTCCCAACATTTGCCTGCCGATATACCCAGCAACATACCACGTTGTGATGTACTCTGGAGAAGCTAATTGTGTTTCTGTGGGATCTTTTGTTGCTGGGCCACCATCGGGAATGTGCAGGACAACACCATCCATATCATCTTCTTCCTCCTCTATCCCTGTATTCAAGATCATTTGATCATTAGGTGGTGTGCAAAAAGTCCTTCCCACAAAATCCCTCAGGTCACATAAAATTTTACTGTCATCATCTTGACAATTGCCTCTCACACGAGAGCCGACAAGCCTGTTGATCACAGCTGTTTTTAGGGCTGCAGTAAATTAACAAGTGGGGTCGGTGTTGGTTACCCCATGCTGCTGGATGATGGCAAATAAATTTTCCACAGGATCTTGGTTTAAAAACCATAAGTTAAGACCATTGAGAGAGTCCTTTACATCATCCCATAACAGCTGTAAAGCTGTTAAAGTCTCTATATAAGCTGTGCAGGAAGGAGGTTGCCGTAAGTAAAAGGCATCTCTTGTGCCATTGGAATGAATTTTTTTTTTACTCCAAGTCCAAAACTTTAATCTTTGGAGTTTTCCAATCGTTTCCCGCCAAACTTCAAAGTGTCCAGAGCCCTCTTTGACAATCATTCTGGAGTGAAACTCTTTGGTTTGACGGGGCACATGTGTTTCCTCTTTTCTGTAGTCATCACGTTTGTGGGAACCATTTAAATAATCAGTCTGTCAAAATCCGCAATGACATCAGCTGTTTCTCCAGCACCTATGATCTCATACCCATCGCCCCCGAATTTGCTCATCTGTGCAACAGTTCGCATGTGCCCAGCATACCTCTGACTCAACACCTGAGCAGCATACTTCACCCTCATCTTCGCTCGTCCCTTGGGGTGCACATGATTCTTTGTGAGATGTTGAACTCTAAAAAGTTGCCAGTCGAGTTCCCATAGACAAACTATGTTACTCCACTGTGCAACTTTCCCCTTCCATACAAGATGTGCCGCTTTCATAAAACTGTTGCACAAATTCTTGAACAGATGGGGGATATCACGTATCACAAAGATCTTGTGTCCCCCCACACAGAAGAATGGAGGAAAGCTACACACCTTCTCTCTCACCTGAGAGAATGAGGATGTTTCTGCTGCACCATGCGCTACGCCTTCGGCATGAAGGGGAGCATCTCTAGGGGTATGTCTTCGCACACATTCTTTTCCCCAGTTTGGCTGGCATGAATGAGGCTCTTATGCGCTGTTAGTGGGAGCCAGATCACACACAGCCGCTTTCACAGTAAAACCAATGCCCTGTAATGCTCGAATAACTTCCACTATAAGTTTGGCTAGAACATTGGCTGGCGTAGTGTGCTGGGAGAAATAGTAAGCCACAGGCTGCTTGTAGGGACGCTGCAAGCCTTGAATCATGAAAACAAGAGTTTGATCCGCTACACTGTTCAAGCGCCCCTGGGTAGCATGATCAACAAATCGATCGATCAGGCCTTTTTTATCATTGTACATAAGTCTTTTTTCAGGGACATCTCGTCAAACATCAATGTGCAAAATCTGTCCTGATCAGACATCTTGTTACCAAGACGGCGCATTATTTCAAGGACAAATTTATCTATTCCAGTTTCCAAGGGCACATTTTCAAGAACTCTCAAAGTCCTAACTGAAGGTAAACAAAGAAATCTAGAGTGCAGCCTATTAGCACGAGGACTCCGTTTGAAAACAGACAGAGTGAGTACCTATTCATGTTGTTCCCAATGCCTTGCATTACCTGCCTTCTGGGCATTCCGCTGATGTCCACGGACAAAAGAACACAAAGCAGGAGAAACAACTACTTCCAAAATGGAATCTAAATTCCGGGTCCGAACAAGAGCTTCCAAGTGGTCTTTTGACTTATTTTCTTTATTAGCTCTGTCGTCCAAAAGGGAAGCCTTTGTAGGAGTGATTATTACTCTGGGGTGACTAAGATCGGCAAGTACCTTTCTCCTTGTGGTTCTTACAGAAGCACCTGAAAAAATTGCCAAATAAAAATTTATATATTTAGTGACTTACAATACAAAAATTGTTCATGCACCAAATTGTGTTCTTACAAGTCACACGAGCAGCCTTTATTTCTGGAGTCTTCAAGTGTTTTCTCACAGTCTCGGATCCTGGAGAGACAGCCCTTTTCTTGCCCACACGAGAGTGCAGTACAAAGGGAGTCTCAACACATGTGAGACCAAAGGGACTGCTAGATCTACAAAACATTTAAAAAATGTCAATAATTTATTTCATACAGATAACAACAAAAGTTGTAAATGTTTCAATTCACATTTTAATAGCATGTAGTCTATCACAGATAACAGTAATTATCATAACAGTATATTACATTAGCTTTTTGAGAAGAAATGAATGCCACAGTTACTAATAATGTAGTGCAATCTTAAAATAAGAGAAGCTTTGATTAACAGAGCTATTAGCAGTTCACCCACGCTTCTCCCTAAAATAAATTTCATGGTCTCGATAGGATCATTGAAAGGTTTAATATGAAAACAGAAGTACTTTTCATTCATTTTCTTTGTTACGAATATTGCGTCACCTGCCGAATTCGCTGCGCGTGGATTGCGTCATCTGCCGGCGCCCCTTCCCTCCCCCCCGAACTAGACGGTTCCGGACTATCCGCGAGCCGCGAGAAACGCCGAGAATATGCCGGGTGCCTGGAGACAAGCGCCGGGCAGGTATAAATGCGCCGCTGCCGGCGGCCGCGAGTCAGTTAGTAGAAGAAGTTAGTAGAAGACGTGAGTAGAAGTGAGTGGTAGAGAAGCAGTCAGTCCGTCAGTGTGTCCGAAGTGGAAGCTGTGCTGTGAAATGTGCATTGCGGTGAAGAGTGGTGCAGCGGTTGAACAGCAGTCAGCAGTCTGAAGTCTGCAGTGGAAGCTGAGCTGTGAAGGGTGCATCGCGGTAAGCAGTGGTGCAGTGGGGAAACAGCAGTCAGCAGTTTGAAGTCTGCAGTGGAAGCTGAGCTGTGAAGTGGGCATCGCGGTAAACAGCAGTGCAGTGGACCCTGGTGTGCGCAGTGAAGTGTGGTCTGTGCAGGGAATTGGGTCAAGTGCAGTGGACCGTGGACAGAGCATCGGACTGGCTGATACTGTAGAAGAAGAGAACAGTATAAATAAATAGTGTGTAAGGAGTGAACTGTGTAAATAAATCATCAAGAGAACGGAATCGTGTGTAAAGAAAAATAATTAATTGTAATATATCTGTAAATAGACCAAGTATATTTAGTGTATGATTGTTCCCGAATAAACGTTTTTGTTTAAAGATTCTGTTGGTTTTAATTCACCACGGAGAAACGTTACATCTTGAACACCATCCTCAATTTGCCATCACTATTTTCTCGCATAATTATTCATATCATTTACCACAGAAGAGCAAGAGAGAGAGCCTTACCGTTCATGGTGTCAAATGAAGGGTCTACTGGGCATGCTTCAGAAACCATCTTTGGAAGGGGATCTGGAAAGCGAAAAATTCTGTTAAGAAAGATACTATGTCCACAAATGTATGTTCTGAAAACAATCCAGTATCAAAAAGAAAGAGGTTTCTTTTAATTCACCATCTAGAATTACAAAATTAGAAAGCATACGAATATCTTGCACTTACCACATACCGAAGTTGTAGACTCATCTCCCAGAATGGCTTCTTGCATATGTTCAGTAATACAAGGATCTGTAATCACCAAACAAATAAAAGTTGTTTTTTACTATAATGTACCCTCAATTGGCACTAATAATTGTATATTGAAAGGAATGTACCATGAGAAACATCTGTAAAAACTTGACGCGACACCTCACATGGGTGAAAAAGGTCTGAAAATGGAGACAAACTTGAAATCTATTCCATCTTCAATAAATGCAACAAAGTAATAATTGAGATTCTTAAAGGCTATTGCAAATATTTACCTTTTACAAGGCTAGCATAAGCATCTGCTGCACTTGCTGTAGCGGCATGCTTAACAGCACTAGAGCCTGTATTAATCAACAACAAATTATTACCAATACATTATGCTTTTAATAGAATGCTTCTTTTTGCATTTAACACACATACAAGTGTCTTACCATTTTCAGTTTGAATAGCTGCCTGTATATAAGGATCTAAAAATGAAAAAATGCTGGTAAGATAGACTCCATCACACTACTTATTCTTCTAAAACTATAAAAATATATTATATTAAAGCTCTATAATCTACTAATTTTCTTTTTAAAATAATCATACCATTTACACCTGTATCTATAGTGGGTGTCACCTCAGTTGGTCCAAATGAGGGATCTGCAAATGAACATGAACATTAAAAAGAATTCCACAATTTACAATTGAATTATTTCAATACACTTTCAAGGCAAACACTTACCATGAATATTGGCAGCAAATGTACCAGACACACTTGCTGCAGTGAACCATGCATTGGCATTAGTTTCTGTGAACACAAATGAATTATCAACCTACACTTTCAATAGCAGTATTCCACATAAATTTTACAATGAGGTAGAAATTTACCATCTACTGTGTAGCCTGGATTTAGAGAACACTGCGCCACTTCTATAGAAGGCTCTGAAAAGTAAAATCTGCTGCTGAGAAAAACTTGTTTGGAATTATTTACTATTTTATGACAATGCATATTGCCACAAACTGTTCTCTGAACAAATAAATTATACTTCTTTCTATTGAAAATAATTCTCACCATGAGTAACATCCACTGACATATGAGGTGCACTTTGAATGTGGATATCTGGAAAAGAAAATAAACATTGGAGAATCACTTTATGACTATTGAAATATCTCAATGCACATTGAAAAACTGAAGAACGTACTCCCTTTCACTGGAATGCTTGCATCAAAATTCTGCAATGCTTCTTCACAAAGGGGATGTTGTGATTCCAGAAATTTTACTGGAACAGCATGATCATACGTCCTTAGAGTCGCAGATATATGCTGTTCCAGAAAATGTTCCTTACAAATAAATTTACTTCCTGTGAGGTGCTGCCACGTACATTCAGCGAGAGCAGGGTCCCCCAATTGTCTTCAGCCATTATCTACATCTCAAACATAAATATATTACTTTTGGACACCTTTGAACATAATTATAATAAAGAAGCAATATTCATCAACAAACTACATGCATAAAAACGAAAGATAAAATAAATGTAACTCACTTTTTCACGTTTCTGGGGAACCTAAATAAACGTCTTTTAATAACTAATTTCGCTTTGGCATTTTTGCAATTAGGCACCCAACATCTTCTCGAAGCCGTAATGCACGTTTCAGACCTCACACAGCAGTAAATCTCTCAATTCCTCCAATTCACTTACTGCAATACGGCGTTAACGGCCCTACGAACAGCACGTCAGCATGTAAACGCATGTATCTTGAGGAAGGAATACGAGGGAAAACAACCGGCTCGTTCGCGGAAAAATTTCAAAATGAAAAAGTAGTTCACCAATTCTCCGCTTGAGCGAATTGGTGTTGAAAAGATGTATATCGCGTCGCTGTGAGCTCTGATTGGCTACTGTATGGAATTTGAAGGACCGGATGTGACCTGTCTAGTGTCACACCACTGGATACAATTGTATCTCTCCTCTATGTTGGATACAATTGTATCTCTCCTCTATGCACTGGATACGACTTCAAGCTCCCGATTGGACAAAAAGTTCCTCTCTCCGGAAGGATCCAACGTGTGATCTTGAAGAGCCAATACATTTAATAATGATGAAAATTCGCACGTATCGTGCAATTAACTTTCGGCGACATTCGTGGTAATAGATTTGATGAATTTATTATGTGATAACGCTCACACTGTCTTTCACATTCACTGCATTTACATTTATCACTTGGTTCGTGGAAACTCTTTGTCTGGCATCCGGTGGTGGAACACGTGGAATGCAGTGGAATGCCAGGCGCATAATCACATGCCTTTGCTTGTTCTCCGCCTCTGTCCATTCTCTATTTATCATCGCATCAGTACAGTATAAATCTGGCCATATTTCTTTCTGTTTCTTTTTTCGTTCGTTCAACACTACTTTTAGCGCATTTGTGTTGGGCAACTGCAATTGAAGCCTTGCATGTTCCAGTAGAAAATATTATTTTACCATTGCATACGCCAGTCTTCACCGTGCTTTCTTGAAAATTCCTATAGCTTTTTTTTATGAAAGTTGCTTTTAGAGTTTCTATCATTTCTAACTGCTTGACTGTGAGATAGTTCCATATTATTTCTCAACCGTACGTCGCTAAAGGGTGTACTTTGCGAGAAAACAAATGCTGTTTTTATAGACAACTAACTGGATTGTTTATTCTTCTTGTTGCAATTAATCTCTACTTTAGATGTACCATGAACGTTGTTCCTGTAATTTGCAGAGTAATTCCTAGATATTTGGGTGAGCTTGCAGCTCTTAGAGTTCCATTGCACATTATTATTTCGTTTCTTTTCGCTCTTCCGCCCCTCCGAAATATTGTCATTTCTGTTTTATTTGTATTTATTTGAAGCTTATTTGCAGTTGCCCATGTACATAGTGTGTCAATTCCTTTTTGTAATTCTTCGCACTGTGTTGGGACTACTACTACGTCATCAGCATGGACTAGTATTCCCACTCCTTTTCTTACGGCTGCCGCTAAATAATGATGCCCTTAGCGGATCTCTTGCAGTACTCCTACTCATTGTTCAATATTCTTTGATATTGTTACATTATCAATTTGGATGTAATTTTCTGTTAGGATATTGATCGTTTTCCTTGATAGCCAATCTCGCATCATGTGTATCTATTGTACCTAAATCCAAATTGCTCTTCTACAAGTGAGTGATATATCTTTGAAGTTAATATTTTTGCTATTAACCTTTGTAAAAGTTTTGAATGATGTATGCTTAACGTGAGGATGTGTAACATTTGCCTTTATAAAGTGGCTTCAGAGTTACCATGCGCCATTCTGATGGTATGTCTCCACACGTGCATTGATAAGTTTAGTCCAAGATTCAGCTAGAAACGGTAGTGATTGTTGCAGGGCCGGATTTACCTACAAGCAAAACAAGCAGTTGCTTGGGGGCCCCCATTCACCAGGGGCCCCACGTATCGGAAAAATACGCATACCATATTTTTTGTCTGTGAAATACTTGTTAATCAAGTAGTCTATTGTGTAACAAAATGTACAATTTCAATGAAAATGTCTGCAAGGAAAATTTAGTAAACCTAAGTATCCTGAGTATGGAGCATGATAAGCTGAGAAATCTTCGTTTTGAAGACATCATCCGACTGCAATTTTCTGGCAGTGAGGAGATGAAAAAAAAATGTAAAATGTATTTAAATGTATAAAACAATGTTAACACCCGAAAAAGTAAAAAATTTCTCAATTTAAAAAAAAATTATAAAGTTTTCATTTGTCTCTGTTAGCAGAGAAGTACTTGTACTAATAATGACATTTTTTATTTAATAAAGATGGAGCTATTTTTTCGGGGGGGGGGGCAACACAATTTTGTGCTTGGGGCCCCGCACTACTTAAAGTAGTATTGTTAGGGACGTATTTACAATCTTCTGCCAAGGGCCAGCCGCGAGTAGTAGGCTTTCAGAGTTCGATTTTATGATTCTCAAACGGCTCCCAGCGACTGGCAAGCCCTTAGCATGCTCCCAGCAGCAAGGTGCTGCCAGCAGTCCCTCAGCCTGGTTTACTTTACTCCGTGCGTTGTTGTGTTGAAGTATATCTATACTTTACACCGACTTTGCTTCATTTTTTATCACTCTTCTCAATTTACAGCAACCGAACTGTTGAGGCTACGAAATATTGCTTAGATGAACTTTGAGAGCATTATCAGAAACTGCAACGAACATAACTTTTTCCATCGAAAGTCATCAAACGAGAGAGTTCTGAAAAAGAAACGCCACGTAATTGACAAAGATTGCTACTTTGCCGAAAAAATCAATATGTATTGAAGAGATTGTCATAGTTACCTCCGCCCGGACGAAAATAAACGTTTTCCTTACGAATTTCACGCTTGGTGCTTACGCTCGCCGCGTCTTGGCGTTTGATGTCCCTAGACTGCAGAAATGTGCTGGAAATTGCCTGGCAGCGCGCCCAATCAAACTTTCAATTAGCCCAACGTATGTTCCACTTAGCCTCTGTGCACATGACTACGAAACTACTCTCGGCTACTCTGATTTTCATGACAATGCAAGCTCGCCGCGTCTGATGTGGAAAAAATTAGATTGCGAGAAATCTGACAATGAGTACATCTTAAGTCGCGGCCGCCCAAGAGGTGGCGCTTCTATTGGTGACTCTTCAAACTAACAAAAAGCAGTTGACAATTG